ATATATATATATATATATATATATATATATAAACTAGACAAACCTTATGGTTGTACGGCAGTGAAGCATCAGTGGCAACACTGATGTTGCTGTCCTTGATGATGATGATGCTACAAATCGTGGTCAATCTTTGAAGTGAAAGTCGTTCATCTGGAAGACGTCATAGACCCTCGAGGTTCATGGGGTAGCCTCTCAATACATGGGAGAGGTGGGAATCTGACGAGGAACTCTTGCTGTTTATCGCCCTGACGAATGATCTCTCTTGGGGCTGTTCTAGATGACCAGGACGGTCCATCACATCACTTAGACAATGTAATCTTCAAAGCCCGGTGCAAGTAGCTGACAGCCGACGACACATTCCTTTTCTAGTATTTTATTATAGGGTGGCACTGGGTCCCCGTCCTCTCTCTTGTTTTTTCCCACTATTATTATTCACTATCGTTGTTCAGATAAACGGAGACGGGTAAGCAAAGTGTTGCCACGCTATTGGTGACGAAAACGGTTACCTAGAATCGTATTGTTGAAGATGTTGGCGCTACATGCATTACCTAGTCGGTACAGATGTGATTAGGACGAAGTACTTTGTATCGTCAAAGTAGTGCACATCAAGGTGTTTGAAGCGTACTCTCCTATTCCATCGAATTGTCTTTTACTGTAATTTTTTCGAGTGATGAAGATGCAATATTGGTTGGAAACGTTTTTTATGAAGGTGCAATCTCTATGCACGGTATTTTATGTTTCAGTCCTAATCTTTTGGTTTTGGACGAGCCCACCAACCACCTGGATGTGGAAACTATTGGAGCTCTCTCGGATGCTCTCAGATCTTTCCAAGGCGGTGTTGTTTTAGTTTCCCACGACGAACGTCTCATCGAAACCGTGTGCAACGAAGTCTGGGTATGCACGCGAATGGGTAAGGATGTGGATGGAACTAAAGGCAGTCGCGTTTACGCGCTCACGGACGGGTTGCAGCAGTACAAGAAAGCGGTTCGCATGGAATTGGAAGAATTGACCAAATAGGAATGGTATATGATTTCTGCAATGTGAAACAAACTGATACCTGTCTTCCACCAACTCAGTTGTCGTGTACAGCACTTCGAATCAAAATTGAACATGGTTTCTAATATAGCATGACTTGCACCTGCCCATTCTAATTTGCTTCTGTCGGCTTCGGAAATGTCTCGGTCAGACACTGTTTATCAACATCCATAGTTATCAGAGGTCTGTCGTATTTTTCGCCGATTACACCAGGGCTGTCGTATTGTGCTTGGTCATGATCCTTTTGTTTATCACTTCACGCGACAGGGCATGCGTCGAGCAATGGCCTACCGAATTAGTGCAAGGATATCATCGGTATTAATCCTTAAAAGTATTCGACTAATTGCGGCAGCATTCGAACGGAAAGTCACGTAACAATACCTAAACGAGGAACAGACAAGTACACTGTTGGTGCGTTCAGTTAGCTAGGTGCGCTTATGAATATTTCGTAAGCACCAATAGTGAAATTTCCTTAGAATTAAGTTATATACTTAGCTGAACTGTCGCGTTCTTGACATAACTTTCACAATCCACTAGCCTTATTCCGATGATACCGTAAAGGCTCGGCGTTTTCGGAGCCACTTGTGTCCTCCCCTGATTACCGATGACCTGAGAGTGCCAAGCACTGGTGAGTACATTCAACCGAGTTATTACGCTGAAAATGTTTGCGCAGACCACCGATGATGCCCCCATGAATTATCTATAACCTAATAGACTGAAGTAGTTCCGTATCTAACGATGGGCGAAACCCGGCCGACATGCCATTTAGTGGGACACTCAGTCTTCAGCGTTGCAATGATCTAAGCACCGGCTGTTACGAGTGAACAGAGTAGCTGACAATCTGTCATGAAATCGGTGTCATTAACAGAAACCCCATCGGTCAAGTTGGTTAGGCCATATACTACACAATTTTTTCCACAAAATCATGCTGAATTAGTGGATGCAACACAACCACATTTAAACAGCGACCTGGCAGCAGAGTACTTAAAAGGTACGTGAAAATAGTCGCGACAGCAGCAATGGACAGAAACCAAGGAACCGACAAACAGGCTGTTAGGGTGGTAGCGATAAAACACCGTGGACGCGTACATCTATCAACTCAACTTTTTTGTGTGTTGCACCACGTAGTTTCGTTAACTAGATGGTCACTTTTGTTTCTATTTAAGCTGCAGTGTGGTTAACAGCGGTGCCCAACAACACGTTTTAGGACGCAGCAACAAAGATGTACCAGTAACACAGTTGGTTGCGCTCCAGTAGCACTTTTCATGCCAAACTTTTACACCCATGTATATCTTACGTTTTCGTCCTTCAACTAACCCATTTCGGTATCCCGTGGTTGCCTGAAAAGTGAGAGCCGCCATGCGTTGTTTCAGAAATAGACACCGAATCTCGAGGCAGATTTTACGCTGCATGCGTGGCTAAAGAAAATGGGAAATATTTGAGCCAAAAGGGGCCCGACCGACTTTCATGTTCGCGCCAACTCTGTGTGCCAACTAGTGATTAGTGTGCGCTCAAACTAATGGTAGGGAATAAGGTTGATTGGAATTTGGGGTTAAACTTCCATGATGAACCTCGAACAGAATGGCAGCGATAGTTTGAACAATCCTCTCATGTTAAATAGTATTGCGGAAGGTGGTTTTTGTGTATGGGTGCAAGCTGACAGTGGGTCATTACGGCTTGCCCACAGTGGTCCAAAAAGTGAAGTCATTCAACGCGTGGGTAGATCAAATCTTAGAATCAACTGTTTGGCCGGGTTGAGTCCCATTCCGACCGTAAATCAGAAGAGTGAAGTACTGACGGTTTTGTCTTGTCAGGTAATCGAGAGAAGTCAGGAGTAAATGTATGGACGAGGCGAATCTTGTGAAGGCATGAGTATGGATACAATGGGTCGAAAAGAGCGTTGGTGACTAGCTGTTGGTCATAGATGTTGACGATCCGGTTTCTATGGTTACAAACAATTCCGACGGATGAAAAAACTGGTGCGTGCGAGTAGTAGAAAACAAGTGATCGACTGGGAAATAAACAGTGTCCTTTGTGAAAAAGAAACGAAAGACAGAGAGGATCAAACAGCACGAAAGTGCCATATGTTTGACGGTCACCAAATAAGAGATTGACCTAGGAAGTTGTTGCTGGAAAGCTGCTCTCTATCCCCATGACGGAGGTTAAAAACATCACATGGCTTCCTCAAGTGATCACATCCTGTGGCTGTCCTTCCACTTCTGCTCATCTTCCAGTTTAGCACCCGGCCGTAGTTGATTTCGAAAACCACCCAGAATATTCGCGGTTACCTAGAACAAGACGAGTTCGGTTAGACTGATAAGCTAAGAAAACAACGGTTATTTAGTAATTTACACAATACGGGGTCATGAACATGGTGACTACGTAATGCTTAGTTTTTCGAGAGCATTGACCATCACCTTGGGAAGAGGCAGTTTAGCGTCGAAAGATTCAATCACTTGCGTATAACTTGCTGAAGTTGTTTCCCAGACTCATACGAAGCCCATAGGCGGTTGAAGTAGTCATACACTGGAAATCCATGCATTTTTCACTAGTGGACAGTTTTTTCACTCCTACTCGATTTCGTCAGCGTTGTGCGGTAGGATTAGATCAAGATTTGAGATCCAAAGCAAGTAGATATGAGTGTGGTGTAACGTACTTACTGTGTACACTTTAACACCTTACCTGGCTGATTAATTGGTGAGACTGGAGTAGTTCTACACATTGCAGATATGTAGACGCGTTATTCTCCGTGCGATCAATATTTTCTCTTCACCATTTGATTGGTGAACTGAAGTAACAAGCTTGGCATAAACAGGTTAAGAAACACTGGTCTAGAATCCTGCAGTGGAGATGTGTTGTAACATCGGCCCACGTAAAGTACGGATGGCTGTTCACGAAACTTGTCTTTAGAATGACTGTCGGGATAGTAATGCTTGCATGTCAGCGGACGACGAAGTCCGATGAAAAGAATGGCGACGTTGATAGATCAGGAGACTTCTTTTTTATGTTTGCTCTCAGGTATTATTATTGAGGTGGTTCAGGGTGGTGAGCATTCGGATTCCAAACCTGGACCACTTTATTGCCAGTGTTCGGCATCCATTGAGTTGGAGAAAGGCAAGGTGATTCCCATAACATTTCCTCCCGTTATAACAGTGAAAGAAAATGTTTACCGGATCCGCACCTAGTTTCCGCCCAAGTCTTACAAAAATGACGAATTAGACAAGCCACAAAGACTCGACTATACAAGGGAAGCAATAAACTCACTTCGCATCCTGTGACCAGTGGAGCGACAATCGTTGGAGGAATCTGGCGAATGACGTCACCCACAATACCTACTGGCCCTTTAGAACCCAATTCCGTCTCGGACTGTGCGCGTGTCGCTCCGAGTAAGTCTTCGGTAACCATCTGGAAGCCGCGCGACATTACGTTGACGGCATTTCCAAATCCTTCCCGAAGATCTGAAGGACGCCGTAGCCGAAGCTGTCGGCTACGTAATGCTGGACCAGGAGTTACAAGGTCGTACGCAGTCTGGAGTGTTAAATAATTTGAAAAAAGTACGATGAAACCTCCAAGATTGATCTTGCGGAAGAGAGATCACCTTCATCACAGACTATGCACCCCCTTTCTCCTTAGTGGTCTCACCTACGGGGGCTTATTGCGTAAGATGCAAACACCGGGAAGGTCGGATAAGTTGGTGGCTGAGTGTCATTCAATTATGAAATGATGGAAACAAGAAAGGACAGGTAGAACTAACTTTAACGCTGACGTGACAGTTATCCAGAAACATTTAATGCAAAACTTAACACGTTTTGTATTAATTTTGATCTCAGTGTAACGCGAAGTTCAGTTCCTCGTCAGACTTATTCCATGCTGACTTAGTGAGGCCAGGATGGCACGGAAGTTGCAACAACCTTCGGAAAACGCGTCACCTCTTGAAATATAGAGCATCTTACCTGGTGTTGACGAAAAGGGAACAAACTACAACGGGTGAATGAATGGATGCACGCATTAAACTGGCTTCAATGAGTACGGGCCTATCGTACCGTAAAGTCGGTTGACCAAAATACGACCATATACGTGGGAATACACAAAATTCTCGCTGCTGATGTTAGTAGAAGTAGTCTGTTTTGTATATAGTATTCTCATCCAAGCTGATTTGTCCTTGTGTTATCATTCTGATCACCGCCGAAGAAAGAACCAAGCAAATGAGTGGCAGGGGCACAGACTTCATAAGTTCCGCAACTAGAGGCAAATGATGTTCCTCTGCCACCGGGATGCGTTGGACATGTTCCAAAGGACAGAAAGAGGATAAGAGGCACAAGAGGATAAGTTTCACTTGGTTAAGATACGGAGGCTCCGTGACAAGCTTTATATTCGATGGCATGCATAAACAAGGAGATTATGTGATCTCACCTCCGCCAGGGACTGGACTGCTCGGACGCCTTGGATGCTGAGCTGTAACGTTGCCCATAAGGTACTCGTAGAAAATGACCGTGTGCCACGTTTCAATCCATGAACAAAACCACCACCTGTGCCACCGACCTCAAGCGAATGTTTTGACAGTGAGGACATACTGGGGTCGTAAGTAATGAGGTCCAGATCGGTCGTGTGCCAGTACTCACGATGGAGATCCAATTGCGACGCTGAGCTTGCCCTAGAGCCTCGATACAAACTTTGCACCGGTTGATACACAAGATCCCAGAGCCCCATTACTGGAAAGAAGGACGACAGAGAATAGGCACACTGGGTTGGAGAAATAGTCTGGTATGAGTTAAAACGTCCCAATCACAAAGTAAACCTGTTTGAAACCCAAGTTCTATGAAGTCTATGCAAAGGGCGCATTGACTCTGGAGCGTGCCCGATAGAAATACGAATGAGTGAAGTGACTCTGTGGAGAACTTACGGAATTGTGTGACTTCATGCATTGGTCCGATACTTGTTGCGAGCACTTGTGGTAATTGAGTGGTGATTGCCGAACGTACGTTGGACACCATCTCTTCCAACAGTCTGTCCAAACTTGGGTAGCCCCGCTGGTAAACACGGCGCGGGATTATGATCTCGGCGTTGTGTAGTTGTAGAAGCATGCCCAGAATGCCTCGCAATGAGCCCTATCACAGAAAACACAGATGGCGGATGATGTGGCAGCAGAGAGGGTAGTGAGCTACCGTGAGGTGAAACAACAAACACCTACCCCGCTCAGGTCGAGATGTCGACCATGGTAGTCCAATCGTATTGGCAAATCCGGGTAGAAAGTCACTTTTCTAAATAAGACAAAACAAAGAATGAGTGCAGTAAGAGTGCATTGGTGTAAGAAGGCCGAACATACGGATTAGATTCTAAGTGAAATAAACTCACAACCATCGACAGCAATGCAGCATTAGTAAGTATTGGCCGAAGATAGCTGGTTGAGGCTGCCATGAGTACAGAGCTATGATGTCAAGAAAGTGGCGTTTGAGACGAAGCCGACGTGAACATCACAAACAAAGGAATTAGTGAATCTAGTGAGGATACCAATTCCAAACGAGATAAGGTATTTTAAAGTCTTGGGATACCAGCGTTTTCGACCTCCATTCAGTCTACTCCTAAGTATCGGTAGCGTTCCTTGTATGATTTGTGCTGATGGCGCTTTCTCTAGGGCATAGAAAACCCATATTTTGAGCGTACACCATTCCGCATTTGATTAGGAAGCGGCCAGAACCAGCATGAAAATCGATTACGTGATCGAGTCCCATCACCGCTCGAGAGAGGTCCAAGGTAACGCCCAGTACAAACCACTTGTCTGTGTCATATTCCATAATGAATAGCGATATTCTAGAAAACTGCAAATCACCAGACATCTGGAGTTTAAACTCAGGCATGGCAAGGTCATGCAACACCGATGACCTACCATAATAATCACACCAACACAGTAAGACAGTTCAAAGAAATCGTTCTGCTGTAGCACCGTTTTGGTACCAACTGCCATGCCACCAGATGGAAGCTCGAGGGCTGGAATACTGTCAGGTTGCCCAAGCCAAAACAAGGGAAGTCAAGAGGCAGAGGTCAGGTTCTAAATACAGACCTTTTGACCAGTAGATTCGTTTCTGCATTTGGTTTTTCTCAAGTGCGTGGGGGAATGCGCGGTTATGCAATTTAAACAGCGTTCATTTGATGGACTTGAGTCAGACCATCAGAAAGAACTTAAGTGGCTATTCCAGGACCTAACTCCCATGTTCCTCTACAGCCAAGTTCATGGATGAATGGAAGATTACCTTATAAATATCCCGGGTCGACCAGTGCTCGGTGCATCCTCGCTCCTAGGACAAGAGGACACTTTTGATGCAGACCTATGAGTTCCATCCGGTCCTGAATGGTACGGCTGAGGTAGCTGCACTGCCGACGTCGAGCCAGAATGAGCTCCAAAGGGAGCACGTATGTGTGAATAGTCGGTTGATGTGGTTCCCGGTATAGGTTGTGTTTCTGGGTGCGTATGATTGGGCGTAATGGAGTCTGGTAGTACAGAAGCGGTGAACAGCTGTTGAAACTCACAGAGGAACAGTAGAGTGTTCTATATAAAAAAGAAATAGGATAATTGTAGCAGGGTTAGGTCAAGTAGGTTGAGTCTGTCGAATGTGTCGTATTATTGATAGGTTGGGTTTGTTGAGTGGCTGTCCATGCATTCACCGAGTTTGAGAATTGCTATATAGGCCAACCACTAAGCCAAAATCAACAGCCACTTGATCAACAATACGAATTTCGAGTGGCTTGCAAGGGGACATACTGAAATTACCTGATCAAGGTTTATTCGCAGTGGCTGACAAGATATTTTCGCCTCCAACTCGAGGTCATTTGGATCGTCCAAGTCAGTGTTCATATTGAAACGTTGGACATCCTCGCGAGTAGGAGGAGGACGGTTGCCGATCTCTCCAGAGACCGGCAAAGGGTGAACAGGTGATGCTGGAATGGGACTCGGTTCGGTAGCCACACGCCAACAGACCACTGCTGCTCGAAATATGGGTGTATCCACATTGTACGGAACATTCGTACCAGCAACAGACTTGCTGTGGGAGTAAAGTAGCTGATTGATCTGGGATGTTGCTACCTGATCCAGTATGACAAGTGAACCGACGTTGAGTATGTATCGACTAGCGGGATCACTGAATGTACTCACAGCAGAACCTCGACTGGAAGGTACATTCATTCGGTGTTCCTTGGGCGGAAATGTGGCATGCCTGAAGTATACATTCCGCAACCTGATAGATATGCACTGCAAAACGAGGGGAAATAAGTTGATATGATTCAAATAGGTGTTGTAAATGGTCAACTACACCGGGGGAGGGAAATTTGGCATTCGTATGGTACTGGAGTTATGTGTCATCTTTGAAAGTAGAAACCCGGTGGTTAAGTCCAGCTACATCTTATTCATGAGGAAAATGCTGTAGCTTGCTTTTTCAGAATCGATCACTTTGTTCTCTAAAGTAGTACAGCTTGGTAGTGATTCATTAAGAGACAGTTGCTAAGGCCGTACTTGCACAGTTAGTTTTGCAATATAACTGGTTTATCAGGCCTAAGCGCTTTTTATCACTGGAACCGACCAATGCAGCAGAAAGGTAGAATATTGCGTACAGTTGGGGTAATTTTTTCTGCAATTAAAGCACTGTCCGACGAGGATCTAATCCACTAAAGTCGCAGAACAATAAGGAGTACTCGTCTGTTAGATGACCCGTTTTCTGAAGATTGTGAACAGAGGCCATTTGTGTATCGAAAATCCCGCTCACTGATCTTAAAGACATTTGGATGATCGTATCCTGCTAAATCTGTGTAATAGCGTTTATATTGCTTTGAGGAAGCCAAAGTGCCCGAGTTTGGCCAAAGTATAACTTGGTGACATGTAAAGATCCAAAGAAGTGGAACTCCAGGTCGGCGGAGGTTGTACTGAACGCCTCTGTTGAAATGTTTGTGCTTGATACAAAATGAGAACTGTGTCAAAGTGCATTGCAGGTAGTGTTTGTGTCAACTGACACAAGTCGTCCTTCTGGTTAGTTAGTTAGGTTTACTGTTGAGACGATTTGTGAGAACAGCGCGGAGCAAGGAGACTGCTGAGGAAATGACATTCACAAACCTTCATAGGATTATCAGAACAACAGCCATCCATGCAACCCGAGCTACTAACATTTCCCTCGACTGCAGGTCTGCGTACGCACAGAGATATGCCACTATAGGTTGGAGTGTTCGAACCGTTACAAAGCAGGAAAAACAAATTTGGTAATACTGTTTCTCTGGCACACTAAACGTTTCAAACGTCAAACTCAGCGATAATTTTGATAGAATTAAAAGTAATGAGAAGGAAATGAGACACTAGTTTCGGTTCAAACCCGGATCTGTACTCCCTTCTACGAGAAATTCTGTTTTTCTGTGATATTAATAGCCAGACTAGGCTTTGCAGGAGAGGAACACTGTACGAAGGTCTTGTTATGGGCTCCGTATTTCCACAGCCCCACTGTTTATCGTGCTCTCAACCGAGACTCTGTGTGCCTGACCCCGAAAATGGATGGTCTCTACCTGGAAAGACCACTTAGCTTCTGAAGATCCATTTTACTGATAGTTTCCAAAGCTGTGACGAGGTTTCAAGTAAAATTCGATGACGGACCAATTCAAAGCACATAAATTTGATTATCAGGGGCGCAAAGTGAGCATCTTAATAATCCTGAGGCAAAATTTGAAAGCACGCTAGGCTCCTTGTAGTGGATGTAGTTCTGGATCAATAATGTAGCTTTTCATCAAAGACGGGAATCAACTGACCTTGGAAGAATCGCGCATCCGTCCACCACCACCCAAAACATGTGAAGTCTGAGGAAGGCTGCGAATATGTTCAGTAGGATGAGAAACCGGAGGCACAGTATGCTGCACCTGCTTTCTAGGATCTCGACTAGTTACTGCAGGACGATCGTGTCGGAATCGATGGACACGCCTCGTTGTACCATCGCCGCCAGCGCTGGCGCCTCTTGATCCAGGGGTCTTAGGAGGAACAGGGGCTGATTCGGAAGCACGTCGGTCATTCCGGGGTGGACGCACCAGTTCTGGCATCGACGGTATTTGTTCAGGATGAGAGTCCAGACGCATGCGCTCTGGGCAAGCTAACAGGGTGCAAAAAGTATCTCAGGGATAAAAATTGTTATCCTGTGAACACCCAAATAGATCTAGCGAGTCAATTCACGGATAACTGTCGAGCCACTCAATGGTGAAGGCTGAGATGGTACTCAACTCGCCTCCTCACATCAAAGTTCCAAACCGAGTAGAGGTAGAAACCATCACAGGTGACGTTTCAAGGTGTTACATAATAGACCAATTATAAGTGATCGCTTTTGGCTGTATTGAATTGTTCGCCACACCAGTGGACAAGTTCACTGTTCAATGGCACAGTGTAGTTCGGTAAAATTCATCAAATCGGAAAATTAAAGCATTACATCCCAAACTGAACCATTCAAAGTAACATGAATGGGAACGAGAAAGATGAGGGAGTCAATCTTTTAGCGAGATTATCTGACGTTGGCAGTCAACATAAAGGATAAGTTGAATACTGAGATGGATGTTTCCTACAAGACTCCGACATAATAATGGAAGAGCTTGGTAGTAGGGTATCATGACTTCAGAATTATTATGCAGACTGAAGATGTTTTTCATGGAACTCCGCTTCGATAATGAGTTCCTACAGTACGTACCAGCGAGGCCCCGACACCTGATCCTTGGGGGTGTGAGAATCAGAACACAGTAACGAGATGAAGCGATGATACGTCGTCCGATTAGTTATAACGTCCCCCCCCCCGAGCATAGTCATTGGAGGTACGTTGCAAGATGACCGCAAACAAAAAACAAGACTAATTTCATGTTACATTGTTCTAAAACCAGTGTGTGGTCTGTTCGGAGGGAATGTGATAACAAATATGCCTGTTGGTAGGGTAGGAGTTGCTCATAGCTTGTCGTGAGTTGTAATGGAATACTGAGATCACTTAAGATGGAATCATTCTGAAATAGAATGCAAAGAATGCAAACGCACACACGTCCACGAATACATACCCAGATGTAGTATGTCTGTGCCACCGAACAAGTTCCATTCGATTGAAAAGTTGTACAACGTAAGGGCCCATCGAGCACGAGGATAGACCAAAGGAGGATCAGTAAACAGTCGATGCATTTTATTTCGCGAGCCCGGTGCTGATGTGACAGATGAAGGCACAAGATAATGCGTCTCACAAACTTCGAATGATGCCGTTCCCTCGGTCTCTGCCAGTTGGGAGTTGGGTACGAGACACTTGAACTGAACCTTTGTCGCCGAAGAGGCTGGTAATTTTTGCGGTACCATAGAAGGTTTGACAAGGATGAATTCGTTGGGACTGGAGCCAGCAGAAGACCCCTCTGATTGTGGACCAGCACTAAACTCAATTGCCCCAGGTGATGGTGGTAGTGAAGGATACAGGTCCGGGCTACGCCTTGGATGCGCAGTCGAATGCTCCACCCTTGTGACTGGTTTTGGGCAGGGAGTGGGTCTTTTATGTTCCTGAGAGTGGGCGGTTCGACAAGGACGTGGTTCGGGTGAAAGGGTTTTCTCGTTCGATGGATGCTCTTTGGACGCTGGCGTGTTTGAACCCTGTCTCGATAGTACGGACGATGTCTTTGAAGATAGTTTACATGGTGAACGGTGAGGCTGCGGGGAAAAAAGTGAGGGTGAGCAACCACTCGGGAACAAAGTGAACCCTGAATACGCTTGTATAACCTAGGGCTCAACATCGTGTGGTACCTCCGTAAAATCTACCAGTCCAAGGACAAGAGAGCAACTTGAGGTTGAAGTGCACAGCAAGTTCCAAAGGTAGCAAAGTTGTTAAAGAACTAATTTAGTAAAAAACAGTAGCTGGGTTCACTCTGCCGGAAGCTGCCTACTAGACATTTTCTCGCAGCACATGATCTCCAGGCGGGATTACAGAAAGAGGAAATCGTAACTGTATATGCATCCTTCCGAATGTTACCAAACGAGAAACTGTTAATACACACAGTGAACAAGAATTCAATTCAGTATTGCCGAAAAGTCAATGTTCGTTCGCTTTAGCGAACACCCAGAAGTCACCACCAATCTCGCATTGATGAGACTGTTCCGATTCTCCACAAAGAATGACTTTCGAAGGCACACACAGTAATACTGAACAACGACTACATAAGCAAGGAGGTTGAAGCGATCAAGTTCGGGGCAAAGCTATCGCAAACAGAGGTAAGCGTCCTCACAAAACATAGTCTTTCGATCAGTTGTGTGCTCCACCGTTTGCCAACGGAAAAGCAATGTTCCAAAGTGCTGCGACTAATTTAAAGCCTAAGGCGAAATGCTACAGCCAGGAAATGAGTAAAACTTCTTTCAGAACTTGTTTTAGGGGCTACAAGGCTGTACCTACTCAACAGTGCGGGTAGCCCGGTGTAATTGTAGAAAATCACCATGTGAGTGGCATTCAGCGGATCACTACACTGCACTACTTACTTGCCAATGTAATCATTCAAGCCCACTTGAAGTACCAGTGAAAGGAGGGAAGCCCTTCACCACGAAGTCCTTTATTAGCAAACATGCAAAAAATGTGGCCAATGTCCAATGTGAGTCTCATTCAGATGTCCCACTACTTAGAATGCCAGCACTACTCAAATGCCGGAACACTACTCAAATGCAAAAACAGTGATTGCGGGTTATAACATTAGGAAAGAACCTACCGAATCCGCATCAGAAATTGCACCTTGCAAGAGGTCTTCTACGCTACTGGGTGATCCACTCATCAACTGGGTGTTTGAAGAAGATTTGTAGAGAGGCTGTCCGTTGTGAAATTAAACGGAAACTTGTGAGTGAAGGGGCCAAAACGAAAGGGGATTAAATACTAATATTTTCCCGATTGTTTTCATTCCGCATCAAGCACCTGATGTAATTCAGTTAGACTGAATAACCCCCAAAAAGGGCGAAAATGGTGCGCCGAAAGCCTAGCCAGTGGTAATCGTGGATGTGTACAGTCTGACAACCAGTCACCAACTAATCATAAAAGACTTGGGAATAATTGGTTTCCAATGTACATGTTTTCAATGATTTTATTGGTTTTATCCACGGATGCTGTATCACGCAAATTAGACCACCGGAAACAACTCCGGGTTCCTAATGCAACAGAGATGATCACGTTAACCAGCATTACAATTCTGAGCAAACAGCTCTAAGGTAGAGCACTGTCTACAGATTGCCCGAAAGCAATCATGCGCTTCCCAGGGAAAAGACGACAGAAGAATCGATGATTATGCTGCTCCGAGGAAAGTTACGACATCCGTCCTTTTTCCTGTCACGCATCAGTCTGCAGTTATAATCTGTAAGCGGACTACACGATCGTGGCACATGCTAACTGGTGGGAACTGAAACAAAATCAAACGAAAACTTGGAATTAGAGAATATACACTCATTTGCAAACTAATTTGGTTTTTCGACAGAATGACCTGTGATGTTCTCAGGCAACTGAATGTGCTGCACCAGGCCGCCTCATGTTTCAGTCGCTACGATATTCGAGATATCGCGATACATGTACATCCTTGCAATGTGCTACTCATAAGGTTGCTGAAAAGCCGTCGACAGCCCACAACCGGTTTCGCCCTTTTTGGGCTCGTCAGGTAGGCACAGTCCCCGGGTTTCTGTCAACCGTATGTTCTACTTGAAACCAAATTGCACGAAATTAGCGAATATACACTCATTTGCAAACTGATGAGCTCCAAAAAGGGCGAAAGCAGTCGTGGGCTGTCGACGGATTTTCAGTAACCTTATGAGTAGTACATTACAAAGAGAAACAGTTGGAATGTTGAAAAAAAGGATTGCTACATGGGATAAGGCTTAGTGAGATTTACTTTTCACACGACAGAGAAAAGTCATCATCAGCGGTACACCTGGTAAGAAGTTCGCAACAGCAGTGTGAACTATAGCCGCGTGCGACACTGAAAAATTTTATTTGGAGATAGCAACAATTGTTGAGAAAGAGCCTACATCACATGAAAACAATTGCATTTGCTCATTGTGTAACCATACGCATGTCGGAGACACTACCACACATTATTCTGAATGTACGCGGACTGATCGTCTGGAGCATGCGAGGGTGGAGTTCACTCTACAAATGCAGGTTCGACGGAACCACCAAAAGAGTATGGTTCAGGGAAGTGTGGTACTGAATAGTGTATCTACTTGTGGTCGATCGTGCATACATCACTGATGTTCAGCCTACGCCCAAGGTGCCATACAAAAATCAAAAGTCAACACGCGGGTTCACACGTTTGAAAGAGAGGAATAGAATTCACATCTACTGCGTGAAATACTATAAAAAATTGTGGAGGTTACATCGGTATTCTGCAACAGAATTTAGAAGAACAAACTAAAATAACGACGAAGTCGTGCTAACGAGAATTGCGTTCCCATTACAATAAGGGCAGGCAGTCCGCATCAACTTACACCACGTGACTGAGCTGAGAAGGGAACTCGGAACCGGCTTGGACTGTTCATTGCGGATCGAACGGACTGGGGATTGTGTGCACCGGGTACTATTTCTGATACCACTGGACAGCTTTGGGATGATGTTGGAGAGGCACCGGAGACAGCCAAGACTTCAATGAGTCGTTGCAAGGCCACGATGCTATCCGCGCATGTGTGAAGGCAACAGCGATTGTCAGTAACACGCACATCCACGCGAGTCAAGTAGGAGGTGACCGACTCTGAGTTAATCTGTACAATCCAAATCAAATACCGAAGCGTGACAGCAGTACATAGCACAAGTGATGACAACGGAACAGTAAGTTATGTCAAAGCCAGCCTTGAAAGCTCGCTTCTTGAAGCGTCCTCCCTTGAAAGAGTTCTTTTTGTCAAATAGAACAACTGTTTTGTGAAAGTGTAACAGGAAATTGAACTGATAATCGCGCTCAATTCCTTGGGAAATGCTAAGAACGCGCCAGTGTATCCCTACAGGTTATCAAGAAATGGTAAACCGGCAGAGTTGAACTCGTAGAGGTCATTGGGTAGGAAGCAGTAGTAAGTTATGTTTGAAAACGATGTTGTGCGCTGGATACGTCTCTACGGTAAAAAGAGGATAACAAGAGAGATAGGAGATAAGACGAAAAACTAACCATTTGTGTGACTCTCATCGGACTACAGAAACACCGCAACTCCAAATGGTCCAACTCGGCCACGCAAACACAGTCAGATAATTTCAAGACGTTGAGCCATCGGAGAAACTGTGAAGGTACAGACTCGGGCTGATTTAGTTGAAGCGTTGATGGGGGCTGAAGTGTACAGGAAGTAAGTGCAACCAATAATTGGAATATAGAGCCGCCAAGGCAGAATAGAGAAAAAGACGGTAAGTCGAGTATCAGGCCAGACGTGTCCACCAAAAACCCCGATCAAAGATCGCTCCCAAGGATTGAAATCAGCAAAGAAATTACGTCAACTAAGAGATGAAGTTATGTCGTAGCTCGGGTTACGGTTGGTACGAAAAAAAAACGAAACAATTGCTCCTCTCAAATGTAAATGTGAGTGGTATACCAAAAGGATGTGACGTGCAGTCGTACAGTTCCCTTTAACAAGATTAAGGAAGGAGAGACAACGTCAGGTACGCCTAACGAACTGTAAACATCAGGGGATCGGTGATCGAAAGCTAAATCAAAGCGATTAGATCGGTGCACAGGTTGGAACTGGGTTTTCCCAGAAAAAAATGGTTATCTGCGCAGCTCGTACCGGGGATGTATCCAGTGACTAAAATCAGCAGCTTAACAATATTGGAAATAAAGTGGTCAATTAAACCTAATCGCATCAAAGTGGAGCTAGCCGATCAAATAGGTCATTAACACAGCGCTGAAAGTCAGATAAGACATATCAGGGCACATAAACAAATGGTAGTCAGATGGACCACGAACAGCCAAGAAGCAGTCTAGCTGGACCAAGTTTATCATCCTTTATGCCCTGGCGAGTTACAATTTTAGAAGCTCTTGAGCTCAGATAGCTTATTTTCAACGTGGAATTCGTCTGTGCACAGGACCCTCCATCAGTAGTTCTGGTATTCCGAATAAATGAGGGCACTCACGCAAATTCCAATGAAATACCAGTGGACGTGGACCGATGGATGAGGTTTCTACCCTTATGCTAAAACTGTCACCATGCTCAGGTGGCAGTCAGAACTTGTGTTGAAGGTAACTACAGGTTAGTAGCAAGAAAGATTTGCCTCCGATGTTCATAAACTGGGGGATAACTTTGAACGGAACATTTTTACACATAAAACGAACGCGTAGCGTACGGAATTTCAAGGATATCACTCACTCACCTTACGATATATGGGACAAAGGAACATAGTAATGTTACTCAGGAATGCTATAATCAACATTCCAGGAGCCGTTGAATGATTCCGGCTCTGAAGCCGCGTTCACAGTAAAATTGATTGTTTCACAAGCAACAAAGGCGCGTATGGACTTTAAGGGTGTGTCCGAGGGAGGAATAGGGCCGGATGGTAGCCCAAAAACCTGACAGTCTTCGGGAGTTGCCCAAGTGAGAGCAACACATTCCAGATGGATGTGCTGGACTAAAAGCGTATCTGGCTGTTTGTATCCTGGGAGTAAAACGGAGATGGCTTGTACCGAGGGTGTTCCCAAGACATGAATGAGGCGAGCAAGCCAACCAGGTAGAGCCGAGTCAGATGTTGGGTTGGCGCTGTCTATGTGTGGCCAGTGAACCAGACAGGCGTTTTGGAGCCGAAGGGTGCAGTTCAAGTCATCCCGATACATTGGACACCCTTGAATAAAGTTAAAAACAGAGAAAAGCTCGGTTTGAAGATGGGAGAACGTAGAGTGTAAGTCGGACAAGTTTTTGAAATAAAAATGTAACCGTAAAATACCTTAGAAAAGGAGATGAGAACCCAAAGTAAAATCAATTAATTACGAATAGCCGACCAAGTGTACGACTAGCCTCACGAAACAATCAGAAAAAATCACCTGATACTATAGGGCAGGGCTGTTTAGAAAAGAACTGAAATCTCTTATTGAAGAGATTATCGGGGATAGATAAGCACCACAAAGGGTCACAATGTAAAAACCATGACAGGAGACATGCGGTCCGTGATGAACGGGATAGTGATTGAGTAGGGTTGTTAGAGCGGAAGGTGAGGTAAGGAAAATCATACGATGAGGAGTGATTCACACAACATGAATTGCTGTTTTGAATCAGGCCTACAAGTGACCCAGAGGGACGGACAGGCTGGATGAACATCCGCAGCCCGTGCCACTAGCAGCGGAGATTTCGTAATACCTAGATATTTTATGACCCCGCTGACGAAACGCTTCAACAGAACGACATTTTGTTAGCTCTATGGAGCATACCAATGCCGTTGCCGACTATATGGTAGTAGACCGTTTTCCTTGGAAAGTTCTTCGCTGAACCATCCAAAAATGTGTGCAATGTGAACATAAGGGGGCAGACGTGATGAAACACCTAGTCTTAGAATTCGGACAAGAAGATCATATCTTCTGTGCCACGTGTTCACGATTCAGCTCGAGTGATGGGTAGGTGGATCTTGTGTATAGCGGCTGGTACACAACGGACGAGGCGGATAGTTGGCGGATGTTCCTGCATCTGTTGGCATCAGGATTAGCTGATTCTTCTAAAACAAATCATTTGCCTTCCACCGTCCCAAACTGCCACACAGCTAGACCAATAAAAAAAGAGCAATCCGAAAGTATCGATACTCCATATTTTATGTTGCTCTATTTCTAAGCTTCGCATCTCACGGAGGTGAAAAACAGACAGTGCTTCCGGTATAGGAGATGAATCATCTCACCTCAGAGAATTGCTGTCTTGATCGATCAATGAACAAAAAGTGACGCAGAGGGCTCACGCATAAGATATGTTTCGAATATATTCCGACGCTGGAAACTACCGTAAGTACTTCAACATCACTCCAGAAGACGGCGCTTTCTTCAGGCAACGACCAACCGAAATGAAATTTATTTTCACACTTCGTATTTATGTCACCCTAGATGTCCGTGAAGGTATCGATAATCAGCAACATTCATTTGGTACCGGTGGCTTCCTAGTAACAGGATTCTAGATCGATGTAGTGAATACGGATAGGAAAGGCCAACCGAATGAATAAACAGCAACGAAAATAAACTAACCTGAGCTCGCATGGATGCGTTTCAACTGTTTGTGCTCGACCGCTAGCGTAAGCATTGGTCCACTGGCGGGAGAAGAGGTAGGATCAACACCAGAACTGGACGGACGTGGAGGTGGGTAACCGACAGACTGCCAGGAAAAAGGGACAAGTCCGGGCCACCAAGTTGGAGATGAAGCATCACCGAGTGCAGAAGATCCGTCCGCCGAGGACGAGTTGTGTGCGCCAGCTTTGATAAGGTAGGTAGATTGGGTTCACGTTAGGGCAGAACATAAAACATGCGCGATTCCAATTACCATAGAAAAGGCACTTGGAGATATAGATCAACGTTAGGCCTGATAAGCCATCACCCGGCGTTTTCCCTATTGACAGAAATGATGCTCTCATATTCATCTCAGCCTTGAGTTGTTAATACCAGAGAGTGTGAGATAAATCACAGCGATTTTGACAACACTAGTGCTGCGTGTGGCACGGAGATGCTCCCTGTCTGAACGGAAAACAAATGCCGATGGGATGCATGTGTATGCTAACTTTCAGGTAAGTAGTCAAAGTGTCTATCAGTGGAAATCAACATGGGTCGGGTGCACCAAAATGAATCTGGGAACTACCATTACAACCATTACCAAACGAATATTGTCGGATTTAGCTCACCAACACTGGCGGTGCACAAAATGCTTTACCAACAGTTTACAGTAGGTGAGAAGACGAAAGCGACGTAAGGAGTTATCGCAGTAGGTCAGGATCCCAATCAAGTGGTTTTATGACTACTTCTGCGCGGATTGATGTCGACAAATCAGCATAAATTTATGCCCTAACAACGAAAAACGTCAGGGCATCGGCTTTCTTTCTTACACAGTATGGCCCCATCCACCAGTTTCAGGACAGCAAAAAGCCCACTGTTGATGCTCTACTCGCTGTGCTAAGCTTTAGCACCAAGTTCAGGACAGCAAAAGCCCACTGTTGATGCTTTACTCGCTTCTTCTAAATGACCAAGGAATAAAAGTTGGTGCATGTTTGAACTTGATGTGCTCGACCAATCTTTCTCTGCAAGGCTTTCCAGAGTCACCTGTATGTGAAATAGACAATTGTATGTTGCCGTATGTTCACACGATGGACCTGGGCCACGCTGAAGTTGTATATATATATATATGGCCATCGAATCAGGGTACCCAATAACTGTAGAAAGGAGTATTAAAAAGTGCATGGACATAGAAAGTGTTACATTTAGTCATTCGCTGGAGACTGATAAAATGAGAATTCCACATACCTGTAAAGAAAGCCTCCAGCTTGCCTAGCTCGACTGTGGCATAATTCACGCTAGGGTCCCCATTGTGCCCAACCTCAGCAAACATAGTTACACCGGACGCAGTCAATAAGACCGTTTCACTGACCGGGTTTACCGCGTTAGCCGGCGGCAAGCTGATACGAATTTCAACTGAAGTCAAATCCAACTGGGCGCAAAGACTGGACTGTTTTCTTATATCAGTGGTTGCACCGTCCGAGTTACTTGTGTCGAGTTCATCCGATTCTGTCCACTGTTGGGTATGGCGTTGAGTCCACGGGTTACGGACGGGTTTGGTGTGACCTAAAGTAGAGGCGAATAGAAAACACCATCATGGGTACAAAAAAGTTCCCTATACGTATCTAAACCTAAAGTAAGGTAACGTACCACAAGGAGGAACGCTTTTGTGAGTATCGTATACGCCGTGCGATGCACGTAGACTGCTAGGAGGTGCACCAGCTTTTGACGACTCGTTGACATTCCGTCTGTGCTCTTTCAGTGAATCCACACCTGCATCAAACTCATCCTCTGCCTCTTCCGAATTGCCATATTCGTCTTCTTCATCCTCACTGTACAACGGATGGCAGTGTAGCCCAACAGGTATGTGTGTCACGGTGCCAAGATTGACTGCTGCGCTGGATTCTTCCAGGGCAGCTGCCTGGCGAGCAGCATCGGGGTGCGCGTAGATAGAAGCCAATGGAGCAGGATCACTGAGAAACCAATAGCGATGATCGTATTCACGTGACTCCTGTGATTCCGAGGCTGTAAGGGTTTTTCGCGTTAGGGCTGCTCGAAAGCGACGATCACTTGGTAACAAAGATGACCACAGAAGAATATCGTACATCAGCCTGAAGAGTGTGGGAAAAATGACGGGGCGGTCAAACGGAATGATTGCGTTGACGAATGACTGACAGTTGCCTGGATGAACCAATTCGCAAACAAATATGGGCCAATATGACATTGTTTGGTGAGAATCCTTATGGAACATACAGCGCTGAAGGATGTGATAAAGGAAGTGTGTTTTATAGGTACACAGTAAGTGAATAAGTCGAAGCCACCAGACACATTACAACCGAAGCTGACTGGGAGGATCGTTCAGGTGCTGTGACCAAGACAATGAGAAGAAAAAGCTTAGACAAAAAGGAAAGTGTGCAAGCCATCAGGCTCGCAGCATATATGATCACGCGAAACACAATAGAGTCAATCAGATACAGGTAACTTTCCGAAGAAATCCAGTATAAATAGTGAGTTGAAACAAGTGTTGAAATAGTTATGGAAGCTAGCAAAGTCATATGGATGAATAATTCGGGGTTACGATGTCCAATGTATGTGAAATAATGCTCATCTGAGTGACTTCAGCGTTTATTTTATCCGACAGAGATGATAACCTTCTGAGAAAATCCTGGGTTACTACACTACACGTGTAGCTTTCGTAAAGATGCACAAAAAGCAGACAATCCACTCCGAAAGATCAGTTTTTGTTTCAGGAAAATCTTAGATGCCGAATAGTGTACGTGAACAATGTGAACGGACACACTGTCCCACACAGATCGATGCTGTTCCTGTCATTTGTGACAACACTACGGAGAGATTACGGACAAACGTTAGGCACACCACACAGGCATTCGGGGTTGGTATAATGTCACGCTAACATGCCATCAATTAACAGAAAATTAGAATGACGCCAAAAATGTTTCATGGATTATTATTAGGATTGTGTTCTCCCAGGGTGAAACAAGAGATGAATGCCGAAAAACCGTGTCCGTATAAGCTATTCGAAATGTAATTGTTATGCAACCCAACAGTTCAAATTCCTCGATCTTACGGTAATTTCACCAAGCTTCATCAGAAAAAGGCTAAATGCCACACTGAAAGACAGGAAAACGGGCCTAGGGTTGGTGAATATTCCAAACAGGTCCACCACCGAGGAGCTGTCCAAAGGCCATCAAAACAGCAGTAAAAGACAGACCGACTATTTGCCAAAGCAACTAACGTATGATTTCCGAGTCCCTATACCACAAAGATATGTCCTAACATTATCTAATAATTCACGATTGAAAGGGACTCCCTGTGTCACTTCATTTTAACCCGCACGATAAAGCTTCCAGCCAAAATGAGTACGCGTTCGAATCGTCCATGATATCGGTCTCTCTCGTACACCACTTCGACCGGCTAATTAATCACCATCTGCAAAGTAGTTAACTTACGCTGAAGATCAGAGACACCCTTTGCAGGAGTTGGGGTGGGTCATTGGCAGTGCGCAATACCTATGGATGAATTCAAATTCGTGGCCTCTGACGAGAGGGTGAACAGTTAGTTGGTGTCACGAACGGTTGATTAAATCTTTCGGCTGTAGCACCCTTTCGGTGCCCCGCTGCCATGCCACACGAAGGAGGCACGAAGTCTGGAATACTAGCAGGTTGCCCAAGCCTAGACAGGGGAAGTCGAGAGGCAGAGTTTGGGGTTCGAACCACGAACCTCAGGTCAGTAAATTCGAATGGTTGATTAACGGTTTAGTTAAACACTACAAATGGAAAAATACGACCATATCTATCCTGCGCAATCTAGCGATGAATCCACATGAAACGGGATTTTTCTTCTTTGTCAAATTACCTGTGTCCACTAAGTGATCCCGATCAGAGACAGCTTAGGGACAAGATGGAATGCGAGTGATAGTAGGCCTGACATCCAAGTAATAGTCAATAATTGTCATTTGGTGGGCAGAACCTCCACTACTTATAAAGGTCAACTTGAAGCAAGGCAATACTGGTTGTTGAACGAAAAGGATCAAATAATCAGAACCGAATGCGTTTTGCACAGTTCAGTGGGATCCAGCTTGCCCAAATCTACGCAACACAGTCCCCAGTATTGAAAGTCGACCAGTGCACACCAGTCTAGGGTCCCTTCAAATCTAGATTTAAAAGTAACACGGACAAGAACCATGCAGTTAAATAGCGAGAGAAAAACCTTACTCCTTTAGTGGGTTAGATCACAAGTCTGATACAAAAACATCAGTTGGGACGAAAACGGCAGCGACAGAGAAACAACAACAACAACAACAAGGCTAACTTGCCGTAGGTAAGCCAGCTCGATGGTACGTTGATTTTCAATCAGTATGACGGCGGCTGTAACCCTGCAGCGCATCGAAAATCGAGTATTCAAATTGGCTGACTGGCGGTAAAACACCATATGATTCGAATCGGCTGGATAGTAAGTTGTCTGTCAGATGAACAAATCACACGTAGAAGTGAACATGATGACAGGTGGGAGAATGGAAACGTAGGGAAAAGGCGAGACTACTTCAGTCAATATCACACCAGACGAAAATAGGGGGATGCGAAGGCAGGGCTGCAACCCGATCGATTTTAACCAGGCAATGGTGGAAATGGCAAACATTTGAGAGAAAACATAGACAGAGGGAATGAACTAAACAGATTCCGGAACTCTGGTTAAGAACGATGTGCAAGACTGCCAAGGAATCCAACTCATGAAGTACCGATAGCAAGTGCATCCACAATGAGGAAAATGGCTGCCCAAGTGACATTAACCACTAACAGAGAAATTTCGCCAACTGACCTGCTTAGAGTGTGCTTTTGGTGCGTCTTGTAAAAAGTAGCGCCGGATGACAAATGGCACATTAGGGTTATTTTGTGGCCCAGTCCGTTTCCATAATGACCACGCAATCGATTGGTCACTTGGGGTGGAGGTGGGATTGTGAACTTGCGGTTGAGGATTGGTTGGGTTCGAGGCAAGGTCCACACCCATTTCAAAACGTTCATGTGCATAGGTATACACGTGAGCTTCTCCACCATAAGCCGCGAATTCGGCCTTGTCGTTTGGACGCTCTACTAGCTCCTGACGTCCCAGTGGTGAAAAATGAATGCTAACACTGTGGAAAAATGAAGGAGTTAGAGGAAGGATCGATGAGAAAAGAATAAGCGGTGGGGTTAAAATTCACTGAAAAAAGCATATGACGATACCTGAAATCCACTTCATAATCGCGGCGGGACGATAACCGTATCACATTTTACATGCCAGGCAAAATAGAACGCGGGCTGAAAAAGCCAACACTATAAAGTGAGACAGATCAGCTTTACATGTGTCAAAACGTTGTAGGTGTTAATGCTTTGTTGTCAATGTGGTTCTGGTAAGGCAAGAAATTACCGACCGGAAGGTTTGTGGTTCGAACCCAACCCAGGCATTTCTACAGTTTCTGTCTGGCGTTGAGCAAACTGTCAGTATCTCAGCCATCGTGGGCGGGTGGCATGGCACCTAGGCACCGAAAGGGTGCTACATCTGAACGACTGCGACTACAATACGACTGTGTGTATCAAGGCATGGATTCACGGGTTGAATGGAGCCAGTTTAAAAACAGCTTTTTCAGAAAGGTCCATATGTTCCACCAACGTTTGGTCGACATAACCAGCAGTTCAATTAAAGCTGACTACAGCACAGAAATCTTTTGCATAATTCCAAGCGCCGTGAATATATAGGATAATTCCTTGTTTGGGGCAATGCCAAAAACAAGTGAAAACTGGTCAGGTCAACTGATCCAGTTATAAATTCTACTGCTGAAGGTATAGTAGACTTGGGTAGACAATAGTATGTAAGGCGCGTGACGGCGCCTATAATAATTTCGGTAAGAAACTGCGTATATGATCGTCTAAAAAATAAGTACAAACTGCAACGTGGATATAGCTGAGGTACAGCGCACCGATATCGCCTAAGAATATACTCTCACATAGCATAGGAGTGCGGACAGCTAGCCCTACTGAGGACACCTCGCTGGTGCCCAGTATTGTATTACCAATCATATCGCACACATAAATCAGACAGGACAAGTAATAATCGGTACCTACTCAACATACGAGGAGGTCGATGGAGCAAAATGGTGCCAGNGTGCGGTTTTCAACCATGTAGCTGTATCTGGTTCATGAAACAGTTTGGGCCGATCCCCTTCATTTGTACTCTACTGAAACGACTGCAACAATAAGCAATAGCAAACAGGTCGGTATAATCCAGCTACAGTAGTCATGCTACGACATCTAGCAAAAAGTGGGACAAGCAAATCTGTCAGCCTTTTAGCATTTCAACTAGCAGCAATCTTTCGAACACCTTTAGAGGAATAAATCAGTAAGCTATAGGTTGAGATTTCATTTCTTTCTCAACAGTACTATCCCGGTCATCTTCCAGCTGCCAGCTATTATCCAAGCAGAGTGACAACAGTCGAACGAGGTGGTCGAGGGTCTAAGGAAGACATAAGTACACTTCCTGAGTATCATGAGTGAGGAAAGCCCGGAACCACTTACCGGATCGAAGGCGATTACGATCTGGTAAACCACAACACCTGCTACCCAGACTATTCCGTAACAAACATGAAACGGTGGACGCACAACACGGTAAATCTCGTTGACACTATTTGAGCATTCATCACGCAGGAATATAGAAAAACCCAATGTCTCGGTCAAAACCTCGACTGCACCACACATTATTGACATCAGTCACGTGATCAATCCGAACGAGTTGTTTCACGTTCTCTACCGAGTACTATGTAGATTTCCAGTATCAATTTAACGACGTTGCAAAACTGCAGCAGAAGGAGTTGCATTACGATTGCGAAATCCGATACTATGTTGTACAAGCTGAGACTGCTTGGGTCACGTGGTACAAATCGATCGACTCAGGTGCTCAACGAAAATTTAGACAGCATCATTCCACCCCGTTAGATGAGACTCAGATTACACTGACAACTGATTGTCTGAGCCTTTATGTTCTCAACCAATCTTATTTCACCATTTATCTATATTTTAACTTGACAAAGAGATCCTGAAGACATTGTAGTTCGTCACCCTGTGTTGTTCAGACTACGGACGATCACGAAGTCGGATATGCTGATGAAATCGTGATCGACCTCGCCAAGGTCGGAATTTCGCAACAAATATTCGGAAACCGTACCACACGCTGATTACTAAAAACCTTTGCAGCCCTCAAGACAGTGGTTGCTGTCAAGTAGGGGATTTGATCCAAGCGTCCGATATCAACTTTGACATACTCCGCTTAGCTAACTTCAGCATAGGTTTTTTTTCTTCCGTGAAAACCTATGAACGTTCACAGAAGAACGTACAAGAAAATCACGTAAAGAGATGGAAAATTCGAAGAGGAATTATATATATATATAATGTCATACATCCACTTCACTCGTATTAGCCATTGGTTAAACAAGGTATCACCAGCACTCTTCAGGTACGCCTTCAAATAGTCGCTTAAATACATACCATGGGATCCTCAAGCGTCCGGTAAAGTGTTCCGACATGAACGGCTGACTTAGATAACAGTGATGAGGTGGTTCTGCTGGGCGAGCGCCATGAAGAACTACGACTACAAAAGAGGTTATCTCATTTCGGGGACTACGGACCAATACTATGAGGATCAGGTTTTTTCTCTACTAGTGGCGGGGGTGCCTGGGCTACATCTCAAGATTGATAATGAAGAGATCGAACAGATGAACACTAAACTCAACGAAAACACGTTCAACATCAGACCAGACAGCTCCGGTAAGTTTGCAGGCAGATGGAAAATGTCAAGTGGATAAGACTGCAGTCTATCCTATTTCAGTTTAAGCCCGTGAAACGTGGCCTCTAGAAATGGAAATCCGAAAGTTAAACGATCTTGACCATTAACGCCTTTGACGGCAGAAAAATCATAAACAACAAATTCTGGAGATGTCTTCACGGATGTCTTCACGAATAACACCAAAATTAGCGAACATTGCCACGCTACACGATGGTGATATCTCGGAGGACAGGTGAATACAGGGGTCACTGTAAACATAGGCGCCATGGGACCACTTGGTCTGTACAGACCTGCTGACTAATTGCCACTCATTGGGTGGCTGCCATTCGACACAATTTTGAAGACACTCCATCCGAACGAAAGAGAAAGAAGCTTAAATGCACTCTTCTCAAGTCACGTATTCTAACAGGTACGATCAAACAACCCGAATGGTCACCAGGGCAGGGAAATCGGGATATTCCTAATTCTGGTTTCCAGGGCTACGATCGTGGAAGGTATGGGTAATTGAGACAGGGCTATTCGTCTAAAGTGATACACGGTATCTTCCGGTGTGAATAGGGTAACAGTTGCATAGTAAAGCTGCGATGGGAGTAGGGGGGAAAGGAAGCAACGCGTTGAGCGGGACAGCGTGATTGCAAGGATAATTCATCATAGCTACCAGTATCTCCGTCCAGCGAATCCTTTTTTCTAGATGCCCATTCGGGGAGGTGCACTTGCAAAGCGACTTACTTTGCTGGTTTGCACCATCGCGCTTCTTCTGTAGTTCACTAGCTGGCCTCATCTGGCTCTCCCGCATCCCGTACATGGTTGAACGGACGCATCATAACTCCCATATGTGAGGCATGTGATCAAGGCAGTGTGACTAGGTTGTTTACTGAATGCTGCTTAATATTCTGAAATCCATTAACCATAACTCTTCATTGCTGATTCCGTGTCCCCAACAAAAAACCTAAGTAGTGCTTCAAAGACAGCGAGCGGTGTGCTCTGTCCGTAACAGCCAGGTTTCTGATCCACACAATCGTTTGCGGCGCAGTGAAGCGTCACAAACACTACCTGTCACGCCAGGGTGGAGCATTCTGTTTCAAGCCATTGCGCTGACACAAACGGGCGAATAAAAGAAGGAAGTCATAGCTATATCAATTGAGTGAAACTCACCCAATGATATCAGATGTGCCTTTGCTCCCACTCAGCTGTAGTAGCGGATTCGCTTGGATCTCTTGGTGTGGAGTGATAAGGTACACTGTAGGAAACAGAGGAAAAAATAACAAACGTAAACAACGCTTAAAACGTATTGAAAAGGCAAACAAGCCAGATAAGTAACGACCGATACAGACCCAACATCCTCTGTTTATTCAAGCAGTTACAGTTGCACGATGATTCAATCGGGGTTTCATGGGCTGTAAAGCTAGGATGCACCCTTTCAGATGAACATATTTTTGACAAACACGGACAACAGATGACAGTTTAGACATTCAGCCACCTATCTCACTCAGTAAGTGAGTTAGCGTTTCTCTAGGTCTATCCGTAGCGAAAATGTTGCAACACAGTTTTGAGGGGTCAACCTCAAACCAAAAACACCGCCAAAACTTACCAGACACGGAACGGAGAGATATCTTTATCTCCGGTTCATTAGCACTATCAATCAACCCGACCGTTGGCTGTTTATCCAAAGTCCCTCTGGAAGGGTTGACTTTGGCAGTTGTAGGTGTCTGTAATGGCGCCCCTCGGTTAGCCTGTCCATGACTTCCTTCAGATAACGGGGTGCGATACCCTAAGTTGAACTTCGACAACACGATCCGCAAATACTCTGGTCGTAATGTGCGACGCCACCAGGCTAGACCGACGGAATTCGGAGAAGTGGTTGGATCATCGGTTGTCGCGATATTTGGTGAGTTGGACGTGAGATCGGCTCGACTGAACCACAGAGGCGTACCTGAGTTCCATAGTGTTTTACGAAGATCCGACATCTTTTGTGAAGGAGGCTAGAAAAAGTGTTTAATGCAAAGCCATAAAACATACTTGTGTTAAGCAGATGCACAATGTCATGAGCTTCAAGAGTTACAATAAATGATAAACGTCCATGGTCGTTAGTTCACTCGCTGAGCTGGGCAGCTTTGTTGAGAACGTTTCATCATCAATCGAGGCGACATCATCAACGCGTCATGGAGCGTAGCGATGGTTCGGTGGTTGTGCACAATAATCGTTCAGCTGCAATACCCTTTCAGTGTCCAGCTGCCAGACTGCCCGAAGTTAAACAGAAGCAATCGAAATGTAGAGTTTAGGTTAGAACCACGAACCTTTCGGTCAGTAAATTTGCGCTTTAGCAACTGAGTCATCGCGAATCCAAGAGTGGTCACACAGAGGTTTGGGTGTCCGGCTGCCATTATTTTATAGTCCGGAAGAAGACAGGGTTCCTTGTGCATTCAATAGCGCTGTTTACCGAAAATCAACGAGTGATGAGGCGACCACATACTAAGGAGCGAGAATACAGGCACGCGATTGTTCTGAATTACACTACCCTAAGAAAAATCAATAGCGCTGTTTACCGAGTGAAATCAACGAGTGATGAGGCGACTAGATACTAAGGAGCGAGAATACAGGCACGCCATTGTTCTGAATTACACTACCCTAAGAAAATATCCACCTTGCCCTTTTAGCAATCACGACGGAATGCATACCTCGGCAAACTTCAAAAAGCGATTATTTGGGCACTGCATAGCTGGGAAAGCTATTCTAGTTCACTCAGCTTGACAGGGTTTGCCAGTATTAGGCAAATAAATTTATTTTCTTTAGGAAACATATGTTCGCTAGAATACACTGAGCTATACCGAGTAAAATGACGTTTATCGGGAGGGGGAGGGGCATTAAAACGAAAGAGAGTTTAAGAAATACCTAAGTGAGCTTATTTGGTAAGCCGTTCAAAGTGTCTAACTGCGGTACGCATTGTTCCTCAGTTCGCACCTTCTGGAGATATCACCTGAGACCTTTCCAATATTTTCTGGCAGCCAAAAAAAGGAAAGCGAGAGGTGGGAGTTTACGGGAATCAAACTACAGGGAAGTCAAGTCAAAAAAATGTAACTAACCAGTCTGATTGCCTCCAGCGGAATGGGAAAACGTAGAAAGAACTCAAATCCAGCACACTTTACATCCAAATGTAGTCGATGGCTCGATGCATCATATTGAGTTTGCGCATTTGTCGAAGTCAGATCAATCGATGGTGCCGTTTTCTAAGGAATATACACGAGAGAAATTCAGAGAGGCTGTCTAGAATTCCGATTTGTGTTTTTATCATAAGACTTGAAAGAGATCAAAGGAGCAGACCCGCACCTATGCATCAGAACCAAAGATACTGGTACAGAGCAGACGAACGAAAGTTCAAGAAAGGGCGTAATCAAAGGGCTGCAAGGATATCACGACCTGAATGTGACCTGATGGAAGGCAAAAAATACACCTGAAAAACGAGACGAAACGTGTGTAAATTAGGTTACATGAGGCAAGCGACACTCAAACTAGAGACGGAACGAATCCAGCTGGTAAGTGACTCATCACTTAAACTATGGACTGAATAGTATGTGCAACCGCAATTAACCCCTAAAAAAACAACACAGCAGAAGAATGAAACATACATGATGTTGGTGAAACTGAGAACAATCGGTTTGTGTAGTGTTTTTCGTACCCAGCCCAAAACCAGTTCCGTAGTGCTCAACAGCGTGGTGCAGATCCTCCTGCCAACGTGGTACCTTGGCAGTTGATATGTCTAATCCTACTGGCAAGAATTTTGCGACCGCCTCAGACGCAGCAGCCAAAGCATCTGTAATTCGATGCATTCGATCTGAAAGACTGATATCCACATCGATATGACAAACGGCTGAGTCCAAATGTAAGGTGTCCATAGGCGTGCTCGTTAGAGCGTTTCTGTTCGACTGTACACCACATGAATTGGATGGTAAAGTGAGGCCCAGATGAAAAAGCCCGTTGCATTTTACTGCTGCTGATTCTGAAGGACCACGAACTGATCGATCTCCAGTACTCCGTGCTCGATCAGGGAAAACCAGCAGCTGATGAAATAAGGATGAAAAGAGATAACGTTGAGAGAAAAAAAACGATAAATAAGCAACACGAATGGGGAAAGAACAGTGCTCAGAGTCCATGTATTAGGGAAGCTGTTCACCAGATTATGTATGCTTGGTACACATTTTGCGTTCGTTTTCGGTTGTCTCAGGCTTCGTTTCTGTTATAAATACAATTGAGATGTATGCAAACCGAATCCATCTTCATAACGCTCATCAACAGCCAGATCTAAGGGAGCAAAAGTTCCGAAGAAAAGATCTAAGTGTCTTACAACTGATCCTACTGCGAGAAAAAGGATATCTCTCAATGGCGCCTACAAAGAGAAACAATTGGTCTGTGCACTAAAGACGCAAGCTTAACAAACCCCTAGTGAAAACTGCGACAATTGAAGTTATTGGCGGACTGACATTCAGGAATACATATTTTATGTAATCGGCATCAGTGACTCAACAGAATCAACACAAAATACACTCACCGTGTAACTGTAACTGTATACCAATGAAAGCAAATCACCACAAGAGGAGATACCGATGAGAAAAGAGAGTGCTCCCCTCAAAATTTCGATGTAATTCCACAATGAACTGTGGCTGACGGATATTATCATCGTGGCTTCTCCGGTGAACTGACGTTTCTTCGGAGTAGTCTATCTCGGAATTAATGCTTTTCTCCCCCAGACAAAAAAGTCGGCCGCGCAACTCAACGACAAAATAACACGTCGACATTATCACACTGTCACTATGTTCATTAACGTAGGGACGCTTGCTGGTGCACTCACGCACCCGGGAAGTATCACGCGGGCGTCTAGAGACCATGGTCTCTATCACCTGCAACTTCAAAAAGCCACTACGACTGGAAACTGAAAAGCAGAAGGCCCAGGAAACCGAAAGGTAGCAAAAGCATTATGGTATCTACCTTCTCTCGCCTACATGCATGAAGGGTCGAATGGATTGGGGGTTTCAGTAGGCAGTAGGGAAGTGGTATTATTAGTGATACTCAAGCTGTCCATTTCTGAAGAGGACAGCTTCCTTGGAAGAGGCTGATTCCCATCCGTCTCTTCATGTGATCACCGCAGAAACGGAGAGTTATGATCTCTTTTTGAGAACGTGAGCAAATACAGGAAAAGTGATCAATAAAAGGAACTGTATACCTATAAAAAGAGTATGCTGTTTTCCCTGGGAGGAAGCGCACTAGCAAGTTTTAATTTTAAATAGGTCGACCTCAAGTTCTCAACGTGAAACGTGAACAACGAACAACTGCCTAACTATTTTATGGTGGCTGCTTCCCGTGATAAGAAGAATACGGTTCACGAAAGCATTTTCAACAATGGAGCCCTGTTGTACACATACAGTTTTGTCCCGAAAATACGAAGGACCACAGTCAGGACACTGTTGTTTAGTGCCGGAGTCAGACATCACCATTTGAAGTTTCTCATCCTTTCCGAACTCACAGCAAAAGACCCGATTGGAATCGAATCCACACGTGCAATGTGGAGTGGAAAGAGGTTTGTTCGACGATTTCAAATTGGACATGTTTTAACCGTTTGGCATCGAGTCAATTTCTTTCCTCATCACGAACACAACCTACGCCCGGAATTTCGCGTACGGAGAACGGACGGAGTACAGATATCGTTCAGTTGTAACACCCTTTCAGTGCCTAACTGCCTTACCACACGAAGTAAACACGAGGATTGGGGATACTGCAAGGTTGCCCAAGCCTATACAGGATAAATTCGAGATGCAGGCGTCGGGTTTGTACCACAGGCCTTCTCGTCAGTAAACCCACACTCTACCCACTGAGTACTTGGTGAATTTCGTTCAACCTGGGTTCAAATACAACATAGGGTGACGGAAATGCGAGAAATAGAACTAGCTCATGACCCTTAAGACGAGAAAGCGCAGCCGTGCGTTGTCAAAGAGGTTTTAGCAACCTTATGAGTGGTGTGTTCCGTCGAGAAAATGATCAAGGCTTGATTTGATGACGCCCTGTAACTCAGTCAGGAACCACGGAGCAGAATATTACAAATCCGGTAATTAGCACGTTCCTTTATTGATGTTTGAGTCAAGCAGAGCCACCACGAATCAGCTAGTGAAGGGTGAAGCTTCATGTGTTGGTAACCTCATGGCTGCGCTAGCAGGCGGATGATGGAACTTGTGCCAATAATAGGTGGTACATGGCCAAATACAAGCTTCTGAAGCACTAGTTAATACCCACAGAACAGACGTTAGCTCTGGATTTTTTTATCTCATCAAGTAGTTTCCAACATGAACACCAAATTGTACGTATGGTGCGAGACATTGAGTTGCAAATCAATTTGTAGACTGATGCGGAGTTCACCTGAATCTCTCGTCTATATCTTCGCGCAACATACGTACAAGGGACGGGGATGAGGCCTAGCTGAATCACCCGACAGAGGATGAGACGAGTAATGGAATACCCACGGTTTTTATCAACTACGTGTATAGTATCGTAACTTACTTCAATATCTTCAAATTTGCACCGACTGAGACATCAGAGACTTTCGTACAACATATTCCGTCGAAACTTATTGAAAACGAGAGATTCAGATGACATTTCGTTGATTATTCCATCGACTCCAAGGAAGAATGATTCACTTTAGAGTGGTGGCTAATCATGCGAAAACCATTCGACCAGATTTATAAGGTTTAGGAAAGTGATCATTTGCATTTGCTTTCGGTCAACTGAAAAGTAAGTAAATCTTAACTGCAAAATGCGGGGAATATTTAATGTCTTGCGCGGCTTTCGATGAAGAATTAAATAACCCCTATATTTGCCTGCATAATCTCCTCTCCCGTCATCTCCGTCAATTTCGACTGTTCATGAAATCTTACGTTGAAGGGAAAACATGGCTGGTTGTCAAACGCAAAAGAATCGACCAATTCCACGAAATAGGGGGATTGATGCAAAGTTGCTACCAACTCCATCATTTTTATGGTAACCTCTATGCGTTTTTATCCTCTAACGACCATATCCAAAATGGTTGTCCATTATCTACTCCACCAATGTGGTTAAGAATCAGACGGATACTACTAATGAGGCACGTGAGTAGCATGTGATTTTCTCGCAACTTCGCGACGGGATGGGATTTATTACGGAACTTGTGGAACTGCTTTGCAGCATTCGTTTACAGTTGAGCGATAGCCAATAATTATCCAAGAAAGTTCAAGAAGAGGCGTGAGAATGTTCAGTTGTTTTTTATAAAAAAACGAGATGCATATGAGAAGTTTACTTCCCTGTCCAAGAGCTTGTAACCGTTGAGTCGCTGTTTTCTAATAAACGACTTCATGGTGAAGAGCTTTCCTCCTTACAACGGTAAATCAAATGGATACGAAGCAATCGATTCGGCCATAAAAAACTATTTAAAATGATTAGTCGGTTATTTTCATAAAGGAAACTACTCACAACGTTGCTGAAAACTGTTCGACCTTGTGAGTAGGTTTCTTCATGAAAATATACTGCGATATCTCGAATATCGTGCCCACTGAAACATGAGGCTGTCTGTGTGCAGCGCATTCAGTTGCAGAACATCGTAAACGAGAGATTCAGTTGCGTCTCTCGCGAAAACCAAATTGATTTGCAAATGAATGTACTTCTCGATTAGTTGGTTACCTAATTAGACGGGCACACCGTTTCTAACCTAAACACTTCGCTTTTCAAGTGAGAGTGAAGAGTACTTGGTGCTTCGCTACATGCACTGGCAGCATTATGCCTAGTTTAAAGCTTGCGTATTGGACCAGTGGGACGGAGAGAATACCACAAACAAGTACAGCAATGTTAACAATAAAGCCATGGCCACACACCTAGTTGATGCAATAAACGTGTTATTGTGGTGCCTATTTGTTGCTCCTTCTGATCTACCGGAGTGTGCACACGGCGGCACTTGTCCGAGTTCAAATGCGGGTGATTCATTCGTATGATGGGTTATGTGTATGAACAACATGGATTATTGCCGAAACAGGCGAACTACATCGACACCCAAAAACAAATACCATACCATCTTTAGCCACTTCCACCTTAGTGGTGCTAGGAAAGACTTTCAGAAAAGCAACCGATGGGCATGTGGCGTTATTCGCCTCGGTGAATATACCAACTATTCAGCCTTTTTGTGAATTGCTAGTGTGGGTTGGAGCACCAGTGTTTTGGCTCTGCAAAGCACGCGGATAACAGAGGATCGTTAAACGAAGACAAAGACTTCGTCATGTCATGCACATTGTACTTATTATGAGCTTTCTGAAAGTGAACTCACCTCCCATCCATAGCTTGTGTGCATAACACCACGTAGGATGTTCTCATAAAGACAAATTCTTGTGAGTTTCGACAGAATTGATGCATGTTGTATCAATGAATGGATTGGTTTGTAATAAAATCGGGACGGCTTCATGAATACTTTAGTTTCAGCCCCATCACATTAAAATGCCTCGCTCCTTATGCAACGAAGTAATTACTCCATCTTCTACAAACCAAACATTGTGAAAGAGCTGTCCTCAGTGCTCAAAATCAAAATGACCTGGAAACAGCCAGTTGATGTAGGACGTTGCTATGTTAGGTTTGTACCAACTTGCTCAAGAAGCAAAGTTGGTGCCTAAGTTGAAACAAAACAGACTCTAATGCATCTCCCAGGTTACGGCCAATCCTACAGATAGTAGCCCATCGTCCCAGAAGAATAGTGTTCGGAATTTAACCACTACATGAGTTCCAACGAGAACGAAAGACCGTGCACAACTAAGCTTTCACAACTGTTGGAGGAAATAGCGCAGACCATGTGCTACAAACAAGAAAAATGCCCCTTAACAGATGGTGGAGTGATTGTGGTTCAACACAAGACTTCCATCGGATGCACAACACCAACAAACGCCAAAGACTATACCTTATAGGTGGAAGAAGTGTAGAAACATCGTGCTATCAACATGCTGACAGGTTGTTGCCACTAGTCTGTGCATTATGTGGGAGTGGCATACTATTTGCTTCGGTCCCAGTTCAGGAAATGAGCCATCCACCACGGATCGTAAATAAATATTATGCTAAGCGGTAGTCAATAACGATGGCAGTTAGGGATGCACACATACACGCCAGTTTATTAGAGGTGATCGTCTCTGCACAGTAAACCAATCAGAAACCTGAACGAATCCACACAAATAGTCGCGACAGCTATTGGATGTGAAGCTGTCTGCGCAACAAGTATATGAAAAATTTCAGCCCGACTTACGGACCATAGCCGCACACAGAGATGTGCAATGGTTGAAGTGTGTGATGAGTTTATCAATGATACCGATCAAAGTACTTGAAAACAAAACGGTGGATTTATTTTGTTACAGCTATTCATGTTGTGTTTCCATGTGACCGTTTTCGGCATTATCTGCGGAATCGTGTGCACAAGTGCCAAAGGCACTTATATACGGGGAAGTAATGGATTTTCACCTTGTACTTATTCATCAGACCCAAACCGACCTGGAGCCAATATACTCATATGTGACGAGGAGGCTTGTCGTGAATTCGGTGATAGCCTACCAATCATTGATCCGGAAGGAATACCTCTGTCGATTATTCGAATAATGGCAAGTCCCCGGCTGACTCGATGTCCTTCAAATGCGTTTTTCGCCACACAATCAAGCACTGGCGGATCCACCCTACAGACTCTGGAAATAAGTGGGGCACATTTGTTTGAAATCGAACCAAACTGTTTCACTGGTTTGACCCAACTCATTGAGTTACGTATTCTCAACGCCAAAGATGGGGAGAAACAAACGGACGGTATGAGCTCAAACCTATTGAATGAACTCAGAAAGTTGGAGCGTCTGGAAACACTGCATTTAACCTCAGTAGATTTGTCCACTGGAATACCCGACAGAGCATTCGCACAACTTGGACATCTCAGAGTTATCCAGTTCGAACGTAATAGGTTGACGAAAATTGGACGATCCTTCCTACCCGACAAAAACGTTTTGAAAGAACTTCGATTCGAAGGTCAACCAGAAGGTTGGAAACTCTTGGAAAACTCTGACCAATGGGCAAGGAATTTGTGGGCCTTGGAAAGCATCAGTTTTGCTGGATCCCAAATGCAACCGCCTCAGGCAGTAGTGAAAATGAATTTTGGAGAACTGGTAAATCGCAGACTGAGAAAACTGGCTCTGGATGCCAGTTCGATTACACACCTTACATATGGACAAGAATTAGACGGAATCGGCCCCGAAGGTGGTGTAGATATCAGTCCACTGGGAATGAGTCTGAAGGAACTTTCACTTGATCGAAATTTATTTCGAATTCAAGGACCTAATGGGACCGCACTGGATGGATTACGGACAATGAGAAATTTACGGTATCTCAGTATAAACCAAAATGCACGGCAGTTGTATCAGGTCCCCTCTTGGTTCGGGTCTGGTGGTCATGGGTTGACGAAATTGAAAGAAATACAAGTACGAGAGAGCGGACTGCGTTACATACCTCTAAATGCATTCCCCGCAAGTACAGAGGTGTTGCAGCTGAGTGACAATGGCCTCATGTACGTCGATGAAGGGTGGGCGGATAACTTGAGACAGTTGAGAGAGTTGTACATGAACGGCATGCGACTAGTTGCCGTACATATTAGCGGACATCAGGCAGATTGGGCAAGAGCATTTCGATCACTCACAAACACGTTGGAGTTGCTGAGCATGCATGGGTGCCAGTTGCGTTCCGAGGACTTAGATGCAAACGATGCCGAGCCAGTGGCTGATCTATCGATGCGTTTCAGGCTCGGATTAGGGCAATTAAAAAAGCTCAAGACGCTAATATTAAGTAACAACGAACTAACCTATATACCAGATGGCTTATTTCAGGGTCTTCCAGAGCTGAGAAATTTGGCACTTGCAGGCAACCAACTAGGCAACACTGAAAGTAGCCAGTCCCTGAGAAGTAGATGGACGAGGGGTAGGACAAGACCTAGACTGCAACGTATCGACCTGCGTCGTAACCAGATCACAACCCTGAATCGCTGCGATGAACAACTTGGATTCGATATTCCGCTGGAAAACCTATTACCCAAACGACCGATTTGGCTGGCGGGTGAAACCGAGAACAACCGACAGGAAACTGGAACAAACGATTCAGATGTCGTGCACACACAGTCAACTGATTGGCTTGGCGGACTCGCTCTGACTGAGAATCCTCTCAATTGTGATTGTCGCTTAGCTTGGTTAAGACAGTATGTGATGCAAGTACGGAACCAGGTGGCACAGAGTCAACCAAACCACATATTACCAAAAGGTTATAAGATTTATGAAAAAGAAGCATTGGATTTTATTTGTGCGGATACTGGGCGGTGGACGCAACGGCATTTCTTATCTCTTACTCCCATGGATTTGTATGCCGTAGAACATGCAAGCTGTAACGAACAACCGGATATCTATGGGGATTCATCTACAACAGAAAGCGCCCTCATTCCGTGTGCTCAGTTAAGACCATCAAACACAGCGAACAGGACGCGAGTGTACATGCTTTCGGGATTCCGCTTCGCCACAGCTGCTAACACATCTCGGACAGCGTACTCAGAAGAAATGGATGAAACCAGTTCACTAGGACTATCCACCGGAGCATTTGTAATTGTGATTATTGCCGGTGCACTCTTATTATGTTTTGTATTGTTTACCACGATTATAATTTTATGGCTATGTGTGAGAGTCCAACGTCAGGAAAGGTGGCGAAAACACGGAAGTCAGGCATTAGCAAGCCACAGACAAGAAGGAATTGGTTGGTGTTGTGGAACGAATCCCCACAGAATCCTCATCCTGTGTGCATGTTGCTCAAGACAACCCGGCCATTTAAAAGTCACGACAAGTGATACATCTCCCCCATATATACCGGATAACTGCAGCTTGCAGAGCAAAATAGGTCATTCAAGCATCCAGCGTCCTTCGGTGTACGATGAGCCCGGTGATTCTTACTATTCACGAATGTCGAACAATGCAGATTTGAATGAGACAGGCGTTTCTGGCGAGGATGGAGGTGACCAGACGTTGACATTACAGAACCGGAGAAGGCGACAAAAACTTTCTAACCAAAAGCGAGTACTTGAATCTGAAAGTGACAGGCCTTTAAATTCAACGGGCGAAGAACAAAACCAGGACAGGCAACCTGTGAATGTCCCGCTATTGAAGCCGAATACAGCCCATTCAGGTGCAAGCGAGTGTACGCTCAAAGCATCAATTGGTCCGATGACGGTCGAACAACCGGGATCGCCACCAGTTCCACTTCCGCCAGTTCCGACACAAAGAAAGACTAGAAGCACCGCTGACCTACGTTATCAGCTGTCACCTCATCCCCAAAGAGGAACATCGATGGTGAATGAATGCAGATCACAAGAACTACTTAGGTTAGAAAGCGCCCCGATCGAGGGATACGGTGCATCAGAGTACCGTCGAGTGTTGCCATGGAGGAGTGAGAGTGTGCCTCATAGTCAGAGGAACCACACATTTGGAAAGGACCTTCTGTCGATCAGATCAAACAGGAGATTAGTTCCTGTCAGACTGACAAAATCAACTTGTCCAAAAGTGATTGCACCAAGTGAAGTAATAGGCGTCTTTGAGGACAGTAAATTACGGTTTCAAAGTGGATGGAGCTGGTTGAAGAAACTTCGGAGAAAGAAGGAGACTATCGACATCGAACCTGACAATGAAGAAAAATCTTTAAACACACCGTTGGGGGCTGAGACGGAAAACCTTCGGGAGATGCAGGGACCTGACTTACCTAAGCCGCAAACATCCACACAATACATGGAAGAAGGTTGCAGAGGAAAAGAGGTAGACACTAAAGGATATCTTGTCATGTCACCAGAAGAAGACTATATGTCTGATGAAAGCAACAAACAACGAGAAACCAGTCAACAAACAGTGGATGAATACATCGAACAAGCCACGAAGGTCAACATCCTTCAATCAAAATTAGCCCGTGACAAACTAGGGCGACGCACTTCAAAATCTGATAGGAATCAAAAGCCGATGTCACGGCACGCGAAACACAGCCACCCATTGTTGTCAGACAGCGTCTACACAGGAATAATGTATGATGACTTGCCGCCTCCACCACCCCCACCCCCAATCGTATCATCCGTGGAACTACTGAATGCGATAGTAAACAAACCACCCACAAATGAACCATTGACGACAATCTCAAAGGGATATGTAAACCAACAGCGTCAGGGTACTGTACATGGAAACGAGGCTAATACTAGGAGCCTGACGGCTTCAGCAAGGACTGGTCCCCCTGTGGGCCCGAAGCCGAAAAATATCCCTCGTCCACAGATCGGTCCAGAGAAGTGACCAAAACCCAATTGATGACATAACAGTGGGCAACAACGTAAACAGAAATCACATTAGTTCCTCATGCGGAAAATGTGAGTTTGTTCCCATTCCCATAAAACTGTCATACACCAAGACGCGTCGCTTTTCTGTTTGAAGTCTAGTGGTTGTGAGGTAATCAAAACTCGATTAGTTCGCGTGGAGGTTAGCCACAGAGTGCCACTTAATCCGTTTGACGTTATGCACCAGATTAGGTTGTACAACTAGGATCAAGTTGAGCCGAGGAAATAGAAATAAGTGAGTGTCATGCACAAGTACACCACATTACTATGGCCTAAAGATCACTGGATAATTTATACAGAGAAGGTTCAAATAAACAGATGTCGCCTTCGTTCACTTGTAGTTGAAGCTCTTCCAACGCGCAGACACTGTGTGTATTCAGTTGTATCTAGAGTTTCCATGTTGCTGACATTAGGAATATTGGAGGATTTGGTCAATTCCAAGCGTAAAGATAGCCATTGCCGAGCGTTTTGTTTGCGTGTGTAAGATAGTATTTTCCGAGTTGAAAAACTAGTAGAATTTTCTCAGAGCATGCTTGGGGACAAATGGATAAAGTGAACTTAATCCAACACCTACGACAAAATACGAATGATAAGGTTTAGAGAGGCGCGGCTGCTGACATGTTGAATGTGCTACCGGTCATGATGAAAATATGGTCTAGGATATTACTGCGGGTGTTTGAGGACAGGTTCAACTTCAGAAAATTGCACCACTGGTGTAATTGAGAGTGCTACTCCATAGGCCAAAAGGACTGGGGAAAATACCTTTTTCTAGTTTGAGCGAGGTAGCTCGTATACAACCCATACGAGTTACATAAATCAAGAGCATCCAAATCACCCAGCACGCAGAAGTGCATACGACCGAACATTTTTAAGGGACAGCCCAGTTCACAAATGTGCGAGGTAACCCCGAACATTTTGTCACAAATGGCTGATGGAAAAAACAAACCCACATAAGAGGAAATTCATACCATGGGAAGTGTTGCTTCTCGTAACCAGAATGGGATATTGTATGACCAACGTGTTGGTAATAACAGGATGCCCATGATGGTTAAACAATGGCAATAAAATTGCTGTGATTTAGATCGACGAACAAGATGCGAAGAGTCCTCCCTTTGAAAAATTGCCGTATTCATTGGCATAACTAATTCCCTTGCATACTCGTAAATAAGCCATGTCATCGCTTGCAAGTACGGTGAAAGAATATGGAAGGAAAGTTGTTGTGAAGGTTTCCACGAAATACGCTTAAGAATTTCATGACACCTTTAATCCGCTAGTATTGCACTTTTAACATCTGTCCTAAGTTGGTGTGTTCAGTAAATTTTCACCAGAACAGGACTCCGGCAGCCCCTTGGCAGAAATATGATTCGTAACAGCAAACCGAAAGTAAATCGTTCAGCTGTAGCACCCTTTCGGTGCCCCGCTGCCACGCCACACGAGGGCAACGTGAGGGCTGGGATACTACCAGGTCGCCCAAGCCTAGACAGGGGAAGTCGAGAGGCAGAGGTCGGGTTCGAACCACGGACATTCTGGTCAGTAAATTCGCGCTCTAAGCACTTGGTCCACCTCGTCCCCAACCGACAGTCGTACAACGGGAATAAGATAGGTCTGATATGCGAATCGCTAGCCCTCGTTCCGAACCCAACAAGATGGTCAGGCATCACTTCGAGACAAGTTTGAAGCTGAAAACTTGCAACGAATTATACGCAGCTGGTTTCACGCTGGCGTTTCATCACACAGGGACTCCGATTTAATTGCACTGATCGACAGCCGCAGTCGAATAAAGATTATATCTTAAAAGCTACGGAAATTTTTAAAGTGATTGTGGTTTTGCACCGGCGCTTTAAACAAAGTTGGAACAGAGAAATAGTCATCGTAAATTGTCACAAAATTTTAGTGATGAGGCGATGCAAATTCGACTCATTTATAGTTCTCACTTGCTTCGGAGTCTCTTATTCAACACATCCTGTGTATAATACTCAGCTGCGGAGGTCATGTTACTCCAGAAGCTGCTAAGGTTAATCATGAAAACTTTGACCTTTTTCCATCTGTCTAAGAACCTTCGGTAAACCGGATGGTAACCCCTTAAGATGTATAAGGATTTTCCACTTGGATGAAATTACTTGATGAACTAAACCACCTCCTTCACAAGAAGCCGAACAAGATTCTAGAGCCGACAGACAAGTGTGAGCTGAGGACGTATATACAGAAAAGTGACAAGGGTACGCGACAGATTGGGATAACAATGCAGTTTATACCGAAAATCTAAACGTTCTCGTATGTGTGTGAAAAAAATTAGGCCAGTTGGAAGGCAGTTGGAGGGCTCCTGTAAAGTTTTTACACATGACGATGAAGAAGCAATCTAAGGGAATCATATGAGAACTTGGTTCCGAAAAAAATGCATTCGAAAGAACGTTATCAAATTAGGAACTGTTTTATGTACTTTGTTCTGTTCGTATGTAACAATAAGCCATTAATGCACATCGGCCGATTATCAAAGCTATTTATAGGCATCTGTTACATGTCGGCACAGCTAAACTTGTGAACCTACGAACACCTGCTAGTTTTTCGAACAGGTGGATATGATTACAGCTACGTACCCGGAATGAACAGGTGAAAGATTGTGCGGTTCCAGCGTGGTGTACAGCTTGGCGAACCAATAGTCGTATTGTTTACTCTTTACACAAGTACTTAACCAATTAACGCAGTTCCTCAGTCACCGAAACCAAATCAAAATATATAACGTCCATCCCAACACTTCCAAAACTCAAGGTGAACTCACTTTGACCATTATGGGCTCAGCTATGTTCACGTCTGAGTACGGTTCGTCTGGGAACAAACATTCCGACAGTTCTATACCAAACAAATGAGCACCGAAATCCAGCTGAGTGCACGTTGTGGAACCGGATTCCACCGCGTTTGACTGACGTAAGCGCTCATTGGAGAAGAAAGGCTTCTGCACACCAGTCACCGCGTCGGCTGTGACCGAACGCGAACAGACTTCCATATGCCACAAGCCACCCACGAAGCTGAAAATAAAGAGCAACATACTTTCGAAAGTTGGTTCATTCGCCGTACACACAAAAACATAGCAAAGATAACTAATCAGACACCGTGTTTTCGAAAAGGCTAATGCAGTTTCACGCTAACATAGATAGCACGTGTGATGTTCGAAGCTATACGGACATCCGATGAACGATAGTCCGGGGGAATATTACAGATAAACGTGGAAACACAACATAGGGCACGCGAACTGCTAATTTGGTTCGACCAATCGATCTGCAGAACATCTGGGTTGACAGGTTGCAACTGCAAACATGACTGGTGAAAAGGTAGCATGCAACGCAGGACCGCTAATAGTATATGAACGTGCCAGACACATCTAAGTTGTGTGTGTGTTTCGATGCGGGGTGCCAGGAAATAACTGCAACTGCTATGAAACAGGCAGCTTCCTGTCAGCTGGCAGGGTGAGCCTCAAGTGTGTTGTTCATGCCAGAGTAATCTGTCGTGACTTATTCTTTTGAAAGAAGAATGATCTGATGGTGAGTGAATACATCACGTTCACAAAAGCCTGACAAGTAAAGTTTTCAGCTGAAGAAAGTCGGCGTACCGACAAGTACTTCGCAGAGGTTATATGCCACAATCGCGGTATCAAATTTACATACCCAACTACCATTTCCAATGGCATCACAAAACTGAGCATACTCTGACATATTTATGTACCTAGCCATATTTCAATACGTACCAGTCAGACATGATATGAGAATTCGTTATAATCAAGACATCGGAGGACTATGTTACCCCTTAACACGCGGTCTAACGTATGATGCGATGAGGTTCGCTTGAACTTGGCCAATCACTGACCATTTGTACAGCCCAAGTAATGAATTCCACACAATCTAACTGGGGTTGGACTAGTTCCTCGTGCAGGTTGCTGGGACTGGACGAAAAAAACCTGAGGTGAATGGCGGCAGCAACTGGTGTCTACGTTACCTACAAAGGCAGTAAAACTGATAGTCTTGGAAGTTATATATTGAGCTCTAGCAAAGACGAGCTGCTTTCAGCAGACAGTGTAAGGTCTTTATTTTCCGACCTGCTGGCTGGAGTGGCCTGGTTGGTGTCAAGGTGTAGTGTTGAGTAACGGAACGATGGGAAAAAAAACAGAGAGCCCCATCGTTAGACCGTTTGACGATAAAATGCAGCTCACCAAATGTGGTCTCTAGGCGATGCGAGCTCGGCAAACTGGCTGCGTAACTGAGATACCCATGCAGAAGGCGTCAATGTCCCGGTGTCAACATCATTCCGATCAATCCTCATTGGAGCAGTGCCCTCTGTAGGTGATGAACTATAGTTCGATTGGGAGGCAGTGGAGCGATGAGGAGAGGGACTACCGGTCGGCTGAGATTGCACCGTTTGTCGCCAAGGCATCAAGCCAGCGAAACGGGAGAAAAATATGAATGGTCCAGGAAGTGTTGCCATATTCTGCACGTTCGAGAATAACGTTGACTCCGACGGAGTAGTATTCTCTTTATTTTCCTCAAACTGCGATTCCATCTGTTCAACCGACACATCGTACTGCGAAGAAAAAGAGCGAGTAAGGCCAGTGTCCGTCGCATCGTCCAGGCTTTCTTTGGTCGCCGATGGTTTATTCGGATAATACGACCCATACGACGACAATCGCTGACTGACATGGGAACGGCGGGATGCTGGTCCAACTGATTTACACATCTCTGATTGTTTGGATAAAGGTATTTCGGACATGGACGATGCAGATTCATCTTCGTAGAAGGCAACCAGGGCTGCGCACAACACATTCGCTGTCACACTGAATCTGGGTTCACTCGTTTCTGTTCGCCTGCCTGTATGACCTGCGTTCTCAAGCGAATTGTAGACCTCAGAACCAGCTGGAAGAGAAAGAGAACGATATGGTGAGATCATTAACCTCCACGCCTTCCTTCAGAGATCATCACGGTAAATGGCCTGGTGAGGGAAATCACTAATCAGACCGAATAGAGGCGTGATTTGTTGACTCAGACACGAAGACGCAAGATCGTGCGTATCCCCTTGGCCAATAATGCAACACCTTCGTTGGCTTCGTTTGTGCGTTCTTCGTAGTTCTGAATGCAGTACTCCTTAAGGTTACCTGCGGGAGTTAGATGGTACAGTAGTTAGAGTGCGAAGGTTACGGAGCGGAAGGACCGTGGTTCGAACCAACCTCTGCATCTTGACTTCCCTTGTCCAGGTTTGGGCAACTTGGCAGTATCACCGGTTCCATGTTTCTTTCGGGCGGCATGACAGCTGAAGGATAAGGTCACCTGCAGCGACCGAAACGTCAAACAATAAACCTCGGTACATTAACATTCCAGCATAATCCAACCAAACTGAACGTTCCAAACAGAGTTGGATCTCATCGACTTAATCGCATGGGGTTAGATGCGGATATTCTCAAAGAGTGACATGCGGTGTACCAACAGTTTTGAGTGCTAGCGGTACCGAAAATAGACAGATAGTAGGATGACCTATCAAATAACCAATTAATTAGTTACCGATCTAGGGACATCAGAAGAACTACGAACACTGCGGGAAGAGGAATTTTATTTTGCATAGTGTTGGTTACATTATGGGAAAACGATTAGCAGAATGTAGCTCCGTGAGTTTAGTTGTCTGAAGTAAACGTTTAGTGAGAAAGAAGACTTCGAGCAATGAGAGCTGCCTATCATGAGGTGATGGTGTCTAGATGTGGGTCCAGCGATGCGTCCATGTAAAGTCAATTCACCCCAGAATGTGGCGCATAACCGGAGCGCTGCTGTCTCTCTCTCTCTCTCTCTCTCTCTGGTTCTAGCACTTTGACATAGCTTCACAGAGTGATAAGACATTCAGATCCCTATCGAGACAGTTTAGTACACCCAACAGAACAATCAGAGACATGTTTCGAGCCATCTATTGGGGTGCACCCGAGTGTTTAGTCTTCCAGTGGCAAAGTAGACCTTGATGAATTCAGTGCAAAAACGTGTGACCCAGAAACAGCTGTTCTGAAAACTAGGAACACTTAAGGAATTCCACCAAATCTGGTCCAGCTCACAGCGAAAAGGACGTAAGAGGGCGTAAAGAATAGTGAGATTTATCTTTTTTTTTAATGTCAGTGCTTACACCATGGGATAAAATGGACGAAATAGAATTATGCCGAACCAAGGTAAGCGCCCGATGACACGGTTTGCGCTCAGCACATTCCTTCATGCATCATCGCATTCAAAGGAACAAGGCGTCCACACTTTCAGTAAAACAGCCCTCATATCACAATCACAGCAGGAATTCGTTCCTACTGTGCATCACCTAGGTCACACGCGAGCACGCTGGTACACAGAAACCTAGATGTGACATGACCCAGGTAGGGAACAAAAAGTTTCGACGAATCAGTAAAGTGAACAGACTACATGTGGCGTGGCGTGTGGGGCTGCTGGAGATTTCATTCAACCCATAAAAAAATGACCGATCGTTTGGCAGTAATAAATTTCTTTGGTCAAACAGCCTTTCAACTAGCAACTGAAACCTTGTTCCACTATATGCTGACAGTTTTCTTATTCACCATCAGCCACAGTGACTTCTCATGCGCGCGCATCCTCCTGTTTCGCCAAAATGCGAAACGTCCATCTTTTCGGAAAGAGACAAAAACTGCCGTCATCAGGGCGATGACCCTAGTGTTATACCACAGTTTCAGGAAACAATATGAACTGACCAAGACACGAACTGAGGGCCGCACGACACCTATCGGTTTATTTCAGATGGGGTAGAACTCAGTCTATCCTGCTTTATCCAGTGGGTGCAATGAGGTCAACGTCACAAGTGGAAGATGCAACTATACGTAAATCGGTTCGTTTCAGCTCTAGGTGAGAGCTTCCATTTATATCACGCGAGATACATGGATTTGAGTAAAATATAAACGTCATAGTTTTTTTTGTTCTCAGCTGGAAGCTGATTACGAGGACTCAATGATTCATTTACAACTGCCAAGTTGTTCCAGTTGTTCCTCTGATGGAGGATGTATAGGAGGCTGTACTGTAAGCCACTCCTGTAGCTTGGTTGTTGGCAGCCGAGTTTAGCAGTTGGACTAAAGACGTTTCGTCACCAACCGAGGTTACAACGGCAGTGCAGGTTTGAGAGAAGACGCTACCTCGATTGGTGATGAAACGAGGATGTATGGCTGTACTGTAAGCCACTCCTGTAGCTTGGTTGTTGGCAGCCGAGTTTAGCAGTTGGACTAAAGACGTTTCGTCACCAACCAACCTTACAACGGCAGTGCAGGTTTGAGAGAAGACGCTACCTCGATTGGTGATGAAACGTTGGCAATCCAACTACCAAGCTCGGCGAACAGACCTATATTCCGCAACATCGCCAACACCGCTTTGTCATCTGTGTGAAGCTTTCAAGCACTTCAGAATTTGATATAAAAAAGCAACCACAGACAAATACAGTGGACGTGTGTGACAGCAGCCTAACAGACCGTATTCAAACGGCTTGAAACCGGCAAACAACTGCGCCTTCTGCAGATTGTCAAGGAACCAGGTCAGCCAAGTGAGCCTATCGTTAAGCACACGCCAAGACATAAAGACTAGTAAACGTGAATGGCATCACACCGTTACCACATTCTTAATCCGTCGCTGACCTCACTCACGATAGTTACACGTGACGAATTGCACCTACACACCATCACATGTTCCGAGCGCCAAGAAGTACCAGGTACATAGGGTCAATACCGGAACTCCCGAAATAAGCGCTGATAATCGATACCTGCAGTATTTCTAAATGGTGTAAAATTGGGACATTTCAAAAACACTGAAATTCCATACCACATGCGGAAAACCAAGGGGAAGGTGAGGAAAATTTTTGAATGATTGCAAAACCCAAATGCCATCCTACAGCAAATCCACTCCAAAAGCGGAGAAAATATAACCAGTGCATCTAACCAACCATACGCCGAATTTGTACGAAAGCGACTTTGGAACACATGTCGATATCTGTTTTCAAGCTTCAACGTCCGTTCTGAACTAATAGGTCCTTCCCTTGATTACCCTATCTTGAAACTGGGCGAATCCATAAGAAAACCTGAAAGGGATCTTGAATTTTTTCAGCTCTAAATTGTCTCAAACATTAAGATAGACTTGTTCAATCGAATTTCATAGGACTTAGATTTCTGACGAAGGTAATCAGCCTCACCCGATTTGGTTGGAAGCGGGTAGGGATGTTTAGGAAGAGACAAATAGATGGAAGATACTGCCGCATAGTGAGGATCCCAAGTAGTCGGAGTGCCAATATCACAACCGTTTATCGAAGTCATACGTCAGCGAATACGAGGCGACAAAGGCAATTAGGTTAGCTAGGGCAGAACCTCTATAAAAACCCGAAGCTCAACGACTTGACAATCAACTGTGTGCTCACAGACTGTAGAGATGCATAGCTATCCATGCATAAATCATTTGATAGCATTTGTTTCAACACTGATTATCTCTCCAAACGAGACCATCTGTCGCTCAGTAGATCAGACGGTTTTGAAGCCGAATTCTTCAGATCTTCGATCCATAGTGTAATTTGGTTTGTTCTCAATGAATATTTCTCAGAGGTGTGAATTGGAGTGTCATGAAAACGAGTTTGAACACATTCTGCTATTATAGTGAGGTAACTTTATTCTTGGGGCTAAGAGACCATCATGGCGCTTAATGAATGCAATCCAGGACCGTAGTTATTCCATAAATTGCAGTAAAAATCACGTTTCAGGTGATGACTGATACGAACGAAAGTCAGTTGGGACTGTCTAAACCTAGTGGATAATCAGCAGAATGCTAGCTTCGGGCAAACCCATGATTCAAGCAGGGTAAACGTCATGAATACTGTTCGCCTGTTTCCTACAGCTCTGCCTGGGTCAATACAGCTCGAGTTCAGCCGGTTCAAGCGTTGGCGGACGTATGGCTGATAGAAGTGAGATAAGTGGAATGGTGAGACGGCCCAACCAACGCCCAACGGTGGCGAATGAGCCTGTACGGTCGAATCTTTCTAGCTCACAGCTTCGTGAGACAGTAAGCGAACCTAAATCGCAATAACCAAGATCACAAAGCTTGTTCCTCATAGCAGGCAGAGGCCTAATGAAAAAGAGGGTTTGTGCACTGCTGTACCTCAAATACAATGAATAACATCTTATCACACAGCTTGTCATTTTACCAAGACCAGAAAGGGAGCAGATGTACCCCATTCGGAGAACAAAACACAGGTACGGTGTGAAATCTGACCAAACGGCTTACCCATAGGTCACAAGAACTCATACCCTTCCTGACAAAGTGTCACGGGAGGAAAACCGTTGTAAAGCTGACAATCACAACGGCATACGGCAAGCTCATGTGTGCGATTTTACCACAAATGACTTTGAGAAGATAGACATAAACTTCATGCGTCATGGGAAGCTATAAACAAATAAGTCACGACACTAATGCACTTAAATCTGGCACAAAGTGCAAAGAATTCCCATTCCAAAAAACTCCTGAATTTTTGTTAGACACGTAAAAGACGCACAACCAACTGTCCTTGCGATGCTAAATGTCATATACGGAAAATGCCCACTAAGTAAAACCGGCTTTCCTTGCGCGTGAGATAAACATCGAAAATTGACTATCCCAAGCACGCTAACTAAATGGAAACTGTCGCTGTTTGTCGCAAATGAAAATTGGTGCACAAAAGGGGAAAGTGCAAACTGTAAATAGGGAGTGCGAGGTAGCGGAACGTTTACCTTGTGGCAGACAAACGTATGTATTCGCCAACCGAAAACTAAGTTTTCCAGTGGACATCACATCAAGTGTGCGATGAAAAGGTTTCAAAGGGTTGTTCGCGATATACGATCAAAAATGTTCGTGGAAATGATTAACTGTTTAGCCAGATCACACGCTTCTCACCTACTGAGAAAGATGCTTATTGTATCCAACGAAAAGAGCTTTGGAATGATTTCCCCTAGCCACCACTCAAGGATTACATCCAGCACCCAAGACGCGAAACTAAGTGACAGTACGTAGCAAATTCCGAAGCACCACAATTTCGAGGACACCACACGCTTGCCTCGCCCACAGTGTGCGTTGCACTTCTGAGATCCCAGGCACTCAAATAACGAAAGGATCCATAAAGTGGGATCCGTCAGTTTGTAGGGCAGGCAATACCCACTACAAAATTGAGGTTTTCAGCAACTTGTTGTGATCAAAAACCCTATCAAACAATAATCAACCACTGAGATGGTTTCAGACGGTGGTGCTGGATAAAAATATAGCTAAGGAAATCAGCTAGTATGTAACGTGGAAAGGCTTCTTGATTCAGTGCTCGGTCCAAATCCGAAACCTGTTATGTGGAAAGCCTGCGTAAGTTGTGTAAGCTCCTCCAGTGAGAACAGAACCAATGGGTGATAAACCGATGAAAGTATATCACCATTTCACAAAATGTACCTGCAGGGAAGCCTGTCGTTTCCATTCCACGGGAGGATGTCATTTCGTCGGTTTCAGTTAGACAGGACCAAAACAATTTGCTGTCTGAAGAAAAAAAGAGAAGTAACTGGATGACATTTTTACTTGCGACAGGAAGCGACCGAAAAACAGTGACTACTGATCAAATGCAGTGTCTCAAGCAAGAAAACCACAACGCACTAGGCAAGTTCCAAAGTACACGGGCACAAACGGATGGTAGCGCAACGAAAAATGCTGCATCTAGATCACACTACCGACAAACAATGAGTAAGCAAACGAAAAGTAGCAACTGAAATCAAACCGAGATGACAGTGTGCGTGATAAAGTGGAACAGAGTTCATCCATGGGACATATCAGTAGACACACCCTCTACAAGGCTCACACACTAAAGTAGTATTGGATTCCAAGTTAGATTGCATATCGACGAGTTTCCCCAGGTAATCATTGATTTAAGAGAGGTTCCTTAGACAGCACTTAACTTAGCCGTGTAGTGTTGGAACAGTTCCGTAAGTTACAATGCGTAAAGGTGAAATCGGAAATACCAGCTACCTGAGACTACTTTGTGCTCGACCCAACTATTTACTTTCCCGTTTGCGCGGTTAGTAATACGGAGATGGGTTCATCAAAATAAATGGTCTGGAGCACAGCATTTGTCCCAAAAGTTGCCTTCCATGTTATGTACCAATTCATTTGCAGTGGTAGTAGCCAGTTCAAAAGTTGGACGGAAAGGGGATTGTTCCATTAAGCTAGCGAACACAGTTCCGAAAGCCAGTGATGCAGTACAACCGCCATAATCAAGCTGAAAACAAATCCAATCTTCACTTTTTCACAAAGAGCACTGAAGTTGAACCCAGAGAGATATTCACAAAGTTGTTTCTTGACTCTTACCAGAAAAAAAGTAGCCTAACTTATGTGCACATAAAGTCCTCGATCGATCGATGCAGCTGTTAGAGCCATAGATCATAATCTTTTTTGCAAGGCGTGGCGGTCGTCTTTTTTCATGATACTATTGTATGTAATCCTCTTTGACCAACGCGTATGAAAGTTTTCATAAACTGATGAGACGAAATTTCAATTTTGAGGGACTAGAGCATTCGGTCCTGACTGTGTCACTAATTCCGCTTGTTTGAAGATGGAGGAGAAGGACTTGTTCACAGTTCGATAAGCTCAGTGGGATCACCGGGGGACCGAATGCTGTACCGGAGGAACGGCAGATACCTACCGTTGTTCATGTCTTTGAAAAATGTGCTAGATCTAAATTCGAGAATCATTCAGAGATCCGTCTATCCACCATAGCTTAAATCGTTCACAGATATTATCTCGCTTGGACACACCAGCACCCGTGAGCAGTCGTGAGAATCAAACACGGTTCTCCATGATTCTGGTTGCGTTGACTCCTTCTTCAACCCACTTAGAGGCAATTATGTCCAGAACCCTCTCACCCCTCCTCGTCAATAATGAACGACATTTGTCAAGGACTTAATCATAAGCATATATGAAAGCAAAACCTGAGAACACCGGTGCATCGGTTGATGATATCGTGTTTCACATATCTCAGTTTACGCTACTGATAAATGTTCCAGTTTCTTCATATGTTTGGCAAACTCACAGCACCTCGCACGCGTAGGACTGCATTTTCAGAGTGAAGATGAGATCACCTTGCTGCCCGTGTCCAATATCCCATGAATGAGACCACAACTCAGAGCGTTACCTCTCCCATTTCTGCTGCATACCACACTATCGAGAAGCACATGCCAGCTGGCCTGGCGACCACCTAAGTACTTTCAAGTACACTCAGACACACTCAAACATCTGTCGATCTCACGGAGGTCGCGTCACGTCGGTATAAACCCAACGAAGGTAATCAGCCTCACCCGATTTGG